AACACGGGAGGTTTTTAAGAAGAGATTGGACAACCATTTGTCTGGAATGGAATAGGGCAGCGGTCCACAAACGTTCTAGCTTTGCGGACTGGTGAGGGGGGAGAGGGGATATGTCAGAGCAAGCACAGTCTTGTTGAGCGAGATAACCCAGGAGTAAACACTGTAAACAGTGGCCTATATTAAATGGTGGTTAATCTTACACTATCTACAATATCATATACCAGGAACAATATACATACATATGTTAATACAGCAGGCTCCAACACATAGCAGTTACAGTGGGAAACAGAAGAGAAAGCACACATCTGCAGAGCCTTCCCTTTTATCTTAAAGAGATACAGACCCAGCTGGCTCTTAAAGGGACATAGACCCTGCTGAGTCATTCCCAACATTACAACATACATCTCACATTACATCAGCTGGTCAGCTTTTAAATTATTACCTTGACAGGATAGTTTCACGTGAGCGGCGGGCAAGTGTGCGCAAGTGCGCACCTCCATTTGCACGAGCAGTAGACATGCATGCCTGCCTCTCCTGCAAATGGAGCTACGCAGACATGTGCGCTCATCCGCCGCTTGCGCAAATGGAGCTGCATGCACACACTTGCTTGCCCACCATTTCTACGGCTCCATTTCAAATGGGCTGGGTCCCGGTGTTGGGAACCCCTGTAACTTTGAACGGTCACTAAGTGAACTATTGTAAGTCAAGGACTACCTGTAGTAATAATATGTTTTCAATTGTAAGCCACCCAGAGTCATTGACTGAGATGGGTGATTATAGAAATCCATCAATCCAACCATCAAATAAACAAATGCTTTCTTGTGTCTGAGGTGATACCAGAGTCGTGATTCTGATGTGCACCGTTTCTTTGGAGGAGGAAGCACCCTCGGTGTTAGGTGTGCAGGGCTGGTTATGAAAGTAACGGAGGCATCGTTGTTTTTTTCCTAGCGCCAGATAAGCGAATCGCTTTTGCTGTCACGGAGGCTGTGCCTGCAAATCCCTCTTGAGGCAAAGCCCAAGGAAAAGGAAGCAAAAGGCTTCTGGGTTTTGCAGCGCTCGTTTGCAAGATTATCTTCGCTGCGTTTGGGGAGAGACGAGTATAGCAGAAGCCCTTAAAATTTAGGGGTGGCTTTGCTTACGGTGACTCTTTAGACCACCAACAGCCCCAAAGGAAGCAACGGTGAGAGGAAATCCATGTCTGCCACACATCATCTCTTTGGGAATGCTGCAAATGGGTTAAAAACCCCAAATTATAAACACACAGATTGTATAAATCTTCTAGATCAGGGATGTCCAACCTTCGTGGTTTTAAGACCTGTGGACTCCAACGCCCAGAATTCCCCAGCCAGCACTGCACAGTTGGGAGTCCACAGGTCTTCGCCCCGTCTTGTAGCATCCCCATCCAAAGAGCATCCATTAAACTGTCCACTATCCCCCTTGCGGGCAGCTTGCAAAGTGGGCAACGAGAGAAGAGCATGTGCAGAGTTCTCCCCTCTAAACTCAGCAACCTCGGACAAGGCTCTGGATTGGGGTGGGGGGCTGTGGATCTCATGGCTGGTGGGGCAGAGCCCAGGGGAAGGGGAGCCCCATGTAGGATGTGACCAGGGAGGGGGAGAGCAATGCCTGCGGGACAGTAAGAGGGGGAGGAGGATTTGGGAAGGTGGGCAATTGAGGGAGGAAGCTGGGCTTGCCTGGAGGAGCTGCTCTGCGCCCGTTCCCCTTTGCATTCCCAGCCTGTGTTTGTCTGTGAGATTCCCCCCCCCCCCAGAAGGAAGCCCTCCGGCCCCTCCGATGAAGGGCTGGCGATCGGGAAGGAGGAGAGCCAGGCGCTGTGGCTTTGGCCACCCTCACGAACCAGCCGGTTTCCATGGAGATGCAGCATCCAGAGCTTGAAACAGGAAAGGGTGGAAAGGGGGGGAGAGGCACACGGGGAGGGAGGTGGATTTTACCCAGAGGTTTCTGAAGCCTGATGAGGACCACTGACGTCCAGGCTCTCCTCCGGCCACCAGCCTCCCAGGAAGGGCCCTCTCTAGGCCCTTGTCTGGAGGAAGGGAGGGGGGAAGGAAGGAAGGAAGAAAGAAAGGAAGGAAGGAAGGAGAAGGGAGAGGGAGGGAGGGTGGGAAGGAGGGAGGGGAGAGGGAAGGGGATGGTCGTTTAAGTCAAGGGCTACCTCCAATGGAATGCATTGCCTGGCCAGGCTTTGTTTTCACCCGTGAGGGAGACGGAGGAGTGAAGCCCAAGCGTGTCCCACGAGAGGTGGAACTGAGTCAGGGCAGGCAGCTGGCATGCCCCTCCCAGCCTGGGCATCCATCTTCCTTTGTCACCAGATTGCCCAAAAGGCATTTGCAGGCGTGCCCCTGGATTTCTACTCTGGCCCAGTCAGCTGTGGCCACAGAGGTCTGTGCAAGGGTGGGGTCCCTGCAGTGCCCTCAGGCCCCAAGCAAAAGACCCCGGGTCACTCTGCCTGCCCCGCCTGGCTCTTCTTGGCAGAAACCGCCACGCCCCGTTGTCCTGCAGCTGCAAGCAGGTCACCTTCTCCTTACGGTCATCCCTTCCTCCATCTTCCTCCGTGTTAAAAAATCATCATCACGACAACCACCACCAAAATACCGTACAGGGTGGTCCTCGATGTACAACAGTTCACTTAGTGACCTTTCAAAGTTAGAACTAGACTGAAAAAGGGACTTAGGGCTGTTTTTCACACTTACGACTGTTGCAGCGTCCAGTCACGTGATCAGAATTCAGACGCTTGGCCATTGGCTCCCATTTATGATGGCTGCAGTGTCCCTGGGTCACCAGATCCCCTTTTACCACCTTCTGACAAGGAAAGCCAGTGGGGGAAGACAGATTCACTTAACGACCGTGTGACTAACTTACCAACTACGGCGATTAGCTTAACTACTGTGGCAAGGAAGGTCGTAAAATGGGGCAAAACTCACTGAACAAATGTCACACTTAGCAACATAAACGTTGGGCTCCATTATGGCCGTAAGTCGAGGACTACCTGTGTGCAGCCCCCTCCTCCCTGAAATCCAAGGACAACTGCTCTGCGCCCTCTGCTGTCCAGCGCTGGCATTGCAGACTCCCAGACCCCTTTGGCACAAGAGTTCTTCAGCTTGGCTGAAGGGAAGAATCTGGAGGAAGCCCCCCCTCTGAGACCCTGAATTTCAGGGAGGGAGGGGGGAACTCTTTTTCCAGGGCAAGGTCCTCTTTGTCCTTCCAATCAGCCAAACCAATTTCCAGGCCAGCCTGTTTTAATAATCGCTCCTCCGATTAAACTGGCAGAGAGATTGAAAGCAACCCACTCCATCTATATAAATGAAGCAATGATGACCCCCCCCATCTCGGGAGGACCTTGCCCCCCCTCAGCGAAGATGCCAAAAGGATGATAAATCTGTAAAATGCAGCATTTTTCTGCCCGTGACAATCTATCTCCAGCCTTTGGAGGAAGTAATCAAACCACTATACTTTAATAACTCTCGCCAGCCTAGAACTGCTGCATAAAATCTCCCTTCTCAAACTTTCTTTCACTTTTTTTTTTTAAAAAAAAGAAATCCCAACTTTCCTCTCCAGGAAAAGAATATCTGCAAAAACAAGCAAGAAATATATATTTTCTGTCAGAACAAATGCATGTTTAAGTTCAGCCATCAAGGTTAATTTCTATAAACCAGTGTTTTTCAAGCTTAGCCACTTTAAGCCGTATGGACTTCAACTCCCAAAATTCCCCCCAGCTTTGCTGTACAGGTAATCATTATGATTATGATTTTGTTGTTTTGCATATACACTGAGAGACAAACTCTGCCCAGGAGACAATTTCCTTGTGTGTCTAATCACACTTGGGCCAAATAAAGTACTCTATCCTACTTGTGACAGCTGATCCAGCTTGGGCAGGGGGCAAAGGGGTGGCTGTCAGAACTTGCCCCCTCCTCAGTCTCGTGCAAGCTAAGTAGGGACCAAGCCTGGAATGGATTTCAGGGGAGATCCAAAGCTGGGGGTTCAGCCATTTCTCCAACCCCAATTACAGTGCTTGTCTTGGCTATTTTTTGATCTGCCATTTAGCTTTGTTCGTGAAGATCGCAGCACGCACACCTTTTGTCGTTTGAGGGGGCCGCAGTGTCACAAAATTTGAGATTGCCCGCTTGAACCAAATTACCGAATGAACATTGTTGATTTGTATGCTCTGTTGACTCACAACGTAAGCAAATGTTTGGCTTAGTATACAGACTGCTGAGGTGTTGGGTAGGTGAGCTTGGTAGGTGGACCCGTCTCCTGCCTTGGGCGGGGGGCTCGACTGGAAGACCTCCAAAGTCCCTTCTAGCCCTAGGATTCTACGACCTGCTGAAGGGTGGGGTCCTTGGTGCTCCCTGAGCTTGGTGGTTTTCTTGGAGACGTTTCATTACCCAACTAGGTAACATCTTCAGGGCTGGAACAGTGATGATATTACCTAGCTGAGTAATGAAATAGCGGCAAAAAAGGATCCCACAGTCCTCCTCCTCTCTATATACCCCCTCCCTTAAAGAAGACCAGAGAGCACCGAGGACCCCCCAGTTCCCACCTGAGCTACAAATATTCTCTTCTGCTCAAGTGCAACACAGCCAGAGCCCTCTCCCGGCCAGAGAATCCCTTCAGCCTAGTTCTAAGGCCATCTGACCCGTTTGCTGAGAGAACTGAGCAAGCGTGCAGCTTCCTGTGTCGCCACCCTGGAAAGCTCTGAAAAGCTGCCTGTGTGGGCATTCCTCTCGTCCGTCCCACGGTTAAAAGGCTTTGAAAGGCCGGTCACCCCAATACAGGACTGGGCGTCCACTCTACCTTTCCAGGACCCTTCCAGTGGGCAGACGGTGCCCCCGGGTGGCGAACGGCTGCACTGCAAGGGAGAACCACCAGCGTGGTCTTGCTGGGTCAGAGAAAGAGACCCTTTGTGCCAAGCCAAAGGGCGCTTCCTGGAAACTTCAACCGGGCCCAAAGGCGACAGGTTCAGGGCCACGTTTCAGAGAAGAAAATGTAGAATCAGCCAGTTTTATTTGCAGACATTTTCGTTGCCAGCAAAAAGCTGATGGAGCAAAGATGGTGATGGAGCGACAGACAGCTTCTGCTGTGCGCCTCCCGTGGCGGTATCTCTAGAGAGAGAAGGGCAGAACCCAGTGGAGGCTGGGGCTTAAGTGAAAACTTGGGTCTCCTTGGAATGACCCGGGGTCAGCGGAAAAAAGCCAGGCGTTCTTTGAGCCACTGCTCCGTCAGCTCTTCGGTGGATCGGATCTCAAAGACCTAGTCAGAAGAGAATGGCCACGGTCGTTAATAATTCAGCACAGTACATATGACTCTGCTCCATGCTACATATAAATGGGACATTTTACAAAATTGAAATCCAAGGCAAGAGAATATAAATCCGACACCAATACTCACCGAGAATACATAGCGAGCGGCAGCAAGGAAAGCAAGATGAATAAAAAACCTTGGTAATTATGTTCTATGGATCAGTAGCCGTAGGAAAAAAAAATTGCCCCCAAAGCCAGAAGAGTCAAAGGGATTGGCAGAACGGTAAACAGTAAAATAAATAAAAAATAAAAAATCAAGATTAAATACCTTTGTGAGCTCAGCTGCCTGCACCAGCCTGTTTTTGCTTCCAGCGTACATCATTTGCTGCTCCGGCTTGCACCCTGGGTGGAAGGAAGAGGGAAGAATAGTTTATTGGCAATTAGCATTCATTATCTGAGTCAGAACGCCTTGCGACGGGTGGCATAATTCACGGGCACTCAAGGAGATGGCATTGATTGGGCTGGAGAGCGGCGTCCCCTTCCAAAGTCACACAGGGGCTGGACCAGGGCGCTCTCTCCACAGAACAAAATGGGAAACCACACAGGACAGGCGGTCCCCCACTTACGACCAGAGTTGGAGTCAGAATTTCCCTCTCTAAGCAAGGCAGTTGCTTAGAGAGTCACGGCCAATTTTTACCATTATTTTGACCCTGGCTGATAAGTTGTTAAGTGAACTGGCTTCCTACATCGACTTTGCTTGTTGGAAGGCAGCTTTGGCGGGGGGGGGGGGATTCACAAATGGCGATCACCCCTGGAGGGTGCGACCATTGTCAATTCATGCTGTGCCCCAATTCTGATCAGTGACGGTGGGGCCGTAAACGCAAGGACAGGTTGTGAGACTCTTTTTTCATTGCCATTGTAACTTCAAATGGTCGCTAAACAAATGGTTGTAAGATGAGGACTATCGGTATTAGGATCCTAAGGAGAAACTGCAACGACGCCCACTCAGAATCACATCCTGCAGCCTTCAAAGGTTTGCATTTATTCCTATATGGCAAGGATCTCCAACCCTGGCCGCTTTAAGACGTGTGGACTTCAACTCCCAGAATTCCCCAGCCAGCACAGGCTGGCTGGGGAATTCTGGGAGTTGAAGTCCACATGTCTTAAAGCGGCCAGGGTTGGAGAGCCCTGTTATAGGGGATCAAGCCCACCTCCTACAAACCAGCCCCACCTTAAGTACCCCGGTTCAGATGGTTACCAAATCTTACCAGCTGGACTGGAGAAGATGAAGCAAAGGGGATAAGAGACCCGCCCATCATCGTGCGTGTATCTGTAGCTGTAGACAACAAATGTGGACACACACACGGACAGTCAAGGAAACAACGGGGAATCTCAGAGCAAGACAGGAGGAGAGCGACTCTGAGAAGCCTACAGAGATCCGCTTCATCCTTTGGCAGGTGGATTGTCATCCCTTCGTTTTGGGGGGCTCTTTGGGGAGTGCTTGCTTTTAAGTGGGGGAGCCCATCCCCAGTCTGACCTTGCCTTTACCCCATTGGCAAGATAATCCCCAGATACCCAGACTGGCTTCCCGGCTGAGAACGTATTTTCTTCCCTCACAGCCTGACCTCTGCTCTCTGCCTGCTGCTCAGAAATCCCAGGAAGGAAGGAAGGATCCATTTCTCCTTTGAACTATTCGCCTCTTTATAGCCGCTTTAATTCTCTCCCTATTACCCAGACAGCCTCGCTGCCTTTGGCAATGCTGTTCTGTTAGCTGGGATGTATGGCTACGGCACAGCGGAGCAGTTTGCCAGTTTATGTTGCTATTTGTTTTGTGACACAATGGACAAGTAACACTGTTTGCCTTCTGTCCAGCAGTGACTTAACACAGGTCAAACTGGGTGGCAGGCTCCTGGGTGAGCAGTAGGCAGCAGCCCAGAAACAGAGAAAACTCCAACAGAGGTAAGGCCTCGACTTACGACCACAACTGAACCCAAATTTTCTGTTGCTAAGTCAGACAGCTGTTCGGTCAATCTTGCTCCATTTTACAACCTTTCTGGCCACCGTTCTTAAGTGAATCAGTGCAGCAGTTCCGTTAGGACAGTGGTTCTCAACCTTTTTAATGCCGCCGGTCGTAAGTCGAGGACTACTCAACTGGTCGTAAGTCGAGGACTACTCAACTGGTGCAGCACCGTTTGCAGAGTGGGACTTTTGGCGGGCTCAGCAGGGCAGAGACAGCCTGGACCATTCCTATTGGCTTTTGAAAGCCAATCGAATTAGACTCTATTCAAGAGAGTCTATTCTGTTGGCTTTCAGAAGCCAATAGAATAAAAGGGAGGAGCCCAGCTAAGGAAAAGGGGGGGGGGAATGGCGGACTGCGTTGTTTGGCGACCCCCGTGAAATGGTCGTTCGACCCCAAATGGGGTCCCGACCCACAGGTGGAGAACCACTGCATTAGGAACACAGTGGTGAAGTGAAACCCGTCTTCCCCATTGACTTTGCTTGTCAGAAGGTCGCAAAAGGGGATCACGTGACCCCGGGGAACAGCGACCGTCATAAATGTGAACCAGTTGCCAAGCCTCCGAATTTCGATCACGTGACCGTGAGGATGCTGCAAAGGTCGTAAGGGTGAAAAACAAGTCGCTTTTTTTCAGTGACATTCAGTGACAGTCACTGAAAAAATGATTGTTAAGTCAACGACCTGTAAGGCTGTTATCTCGTGGTCATCCAGATTTATACAGCCCAAAACTATTAGCTGAAGAAGAAAATGCTGAGCAAAAAGGATCCGGCTGTTGGTCAGAACAAAGGTCTCTATTTAGTTATTCACGCAGTTTTCTGGATGGTCGGCCAGGTGTTCCTGAGAAACTACGGGCGGGCAGAGCTATTTGTCTGCTGAAATGGCCTTCCCCATCCACTATCCTTAAATTCCGCTGGATGTGGAATTCTGGGAGTTGAAGTCCACATGCCTTAAAATGGTCAAGGTTGAGAAACACTGCTTTAAACATTCTAGCGATTAACCCTGGGTAAGATTTTGCTAATTAACCTGCAGATTCCTCTCATGCTCTGCCGCCTCCTGAGAGCAAATTTCCTGAATTAATTACACCTTCGGTGAGGGGAGGCTTCCTCTGGTCTGCCCTGAAAGCAGGGGAACGACACAGAGTGGTTTCCAGGGGGGGACAGAGGCCGAAATACACAGGAGAGGGAACCAGATTCAGGATATCGGGGCTGGCGCTCCGGTAGCTCATGGCTCAGCTGCTCGGGAGACATGTCCTGCGGGAGAGAAGAGGGGAGGGAAGAGGCAGGACCTCAGAGGATTGCAAACACAGGGGGGGGGGAGACTTCTCAGCTAAAGCCTACAAGTGCAACTTTGCAAAAGAGGGAGAGGAGGGGGCTTGTGGGGTTAGAAGCAGGGAAAGCATGTCCAAAATGTAAGCCGTGCAATGTTTTCATGTCACAGAATAACAGAGTTGGAAGGGAACATTGGAGGTCTTCTAGTCCAACCCCCCCCCCCGTTCATTTCAGACAAATGCTGTGCTGGCTGAAGAATTCTGGGAGTTGAAGTCCACAGGTCTTAAAATGGCCAAGATTGGACACCCCTGGCATAAGATCTCCTGCTTGAGCAGGGGGTTGGACTAGAAGACCTCCAAGGTCCCTTCCAGTCTTATGATTCTATGTTTCTATTATACACTAGCACAATGCCCACCCCACCCACCCACCCCGGCCCTGCACTAAACCCCCATGAGGCATTTACGGCAGGGAGGGCCTCCCCATCTAGTTGCTAAAGGGAGCTGGGAAGTCTGGGCAGGTGACAGTTATCATTCCGAGTTTCACATCAAAATGCCAACACAGTTTAAAGCCTCAGCAGAGCCTCTTGACACTCCAGATAGTGGAATAAAATGGGCCATAAAATGTTGATGGTTGCTTGCAGCTCTCGAGAGCGGAGGAGGGTGGGGGCGCAGGAGGAGGAAGCAGCAATGGTGAGGCTGCTTCTCGCTCTGCAAACTCGACCTGCATCAAATGGGGAAGTTCCTGCCTTTGAAGGCTGCCTGCTCTGACTCGGAGTGGTGAAAAAAGGGCCTTGAAAGTTCCTTTCTGCATTTGTTCCGCTGCGTTTGAGGTGCTTAAGCTCTGAAAAGAGCCACGGTTGTTTAGGAGAAAGAGAAAAAAAGAGCTCAAAGAAGCTAGAGAGAAGAAGGCGCAGAGGGGACATGATAGCAGCGTTCCAGCATTTGAGAGGCTGCCACAAAGAAGAGGGGATCAACTTATTCTCCAAAGCACCAGCAGGCAAGACGAGAAACAATGGATTGAAACTAATCAAGGAGAGAAGCAACCTGGAATTAAGGAGAAACTTCTTAATTGGAACAGTTAATCAGTGGAACGGCTTGCCTTCAGAAGTTGTGGGTGCTCCATCACTGGAGATTTTAAAGAAGAGACCGGACAGTCACTTGTCTGAGATGGTACAGGGTCTCCTGCTTGAACAGGGGGCTGGTCTAGAAGACCTCCAAGGTCCCTTCCAGCTCTATTCTGACTAAAGAGATTGGCAGCTGGTCCCTACTCGTATCCTTTCCAAGGCAGCAGAACTGATGCAGTCGGGGAAGAAGCCTCTGGGAAGGGTGCCACCGCCAGCCCTTCTCTGCCCAGTCATAAACTCTGGGCACGTGGGCCTCGGGGGGGCTTGGAAGGGGAGGGTGAGGAGGGCAGCAACAGAGAGCAGCAGGAGACCTTCCAGGAGTCAGACAACCTAAGAACAGGCGCCCAAGTACAAGTAGCCCTTGAATATCACCACTCCTTTAGTGACCACTGAAAAAAAAGGACTTTTTCATGCTTAGGACCGTTGCAGTACCCCATGGTCACATGACCCAAATTCAGATGCTTGGCACCTGACTCATATTTACGACGGTCGCAGTGCCCTGGGTCACGTGATCCCCTTTTGCAACCTTCTGAGGAAGCCGGATTTACTTAATGACCCTGTTACTGACGTAACATCTGCAATGATTCGCTTAACAACTGTGGCAAGAAAGGCCGTAAAACAGGGCAAAACTCACTGAACAACTGTCTTGCTTAGCAACAGAGACTTTGGGCTCAGTTGTGGTTGTAACTCGAGGACCACCTCTATCACAGGGGGTGATCTCAAGGCAGAACATCAATTAATATTTGGATCCCACAAGATGGAAGTAATTGTTCTTGACTCCCTGCTTTCCCCTGAATAATCTAAGTGGTTAATTCTGTTTAGAAGCATCCATTTTCTGCCTCGTCCTACCTCTAATATTATTAAGTGCTGCTTTTTGCTCTCAGGATTCCCTCAGGATCGTTAAAGTGATTCTGCATTCTGATAAAATGAAGCTTTCCGCAGAATCCCACCGACTCCTTGTGCTTCGCGAAAAAAGCATTGAACCAGAGATCAAATCATGAACATCTTGCTGACATGATGCGTGAAGATTGTAAAACATACTGAATTAAACAGGAAGGCAAACAATGCCATCAGCACATTGTTCCCATGAGATAATAAATTTGATTTGAAATTCAATTTGCTTTTTGTCCGGCCCAGTAATTTCTAGCAAAATTTACATCCAGGAGGCTGGGCTGTGTAATGGAAGAATTGCTTTTTTGGGGGGAAATGTGAAGTTGCCTTAAGTCAGACTCAAGCAGTGGCAGAACAGGTTGGAACTTACTCTTTGGATGACTGATTTAAGATCAAGAGGAGTGGAAATGGAATGTGTATTCCTGCACATGTATTTGCATGCACACGTGAATGAGTGCAAATAAAAAAGTAATGAAAAAGGAGGTTGATTTCAGTGCCCTCTGTGAAAAAAACATTCAATCTTGGATATGATTTAGGATTTGACAGTCTTGCTACCTTTCCATTGTGCACAGGGAAAAGAGCTGGCTCGTAATTTATCTTAATCCATAGTGTAGATCATTCATTTTTACACCCCAAAGGCAAAACTCCTTTATAATCGCCTCTGATTATAATAAGATACATATTTCTATGTCTTTCTAGTTTTACAAAAAAAATATTTTAGCATATGAAACTACACTTAAACAACTAGAGAACTATTCATGAGATGCAGCCCTTCTCATGCTGCAAATTTGCACATTATTGGATACAAATGAGAACATTCTGCAGTTTTGACTGATTTGAGACAAGAGGAAAAGATGCAATTTTGTCTACATCCTCTGGTTTGGTTTAATGAAGGGATGTCCACCCCTGGCAACTTTAAGACTTGTGGACTTCAACTCCCAGAATTCCCCAGCCAGCACAGCTGGCTATAGAATTATGGGAGTTGAAGTCCACAAGTCTTAAAGTTGCCAGGGGTGGACACCCCTGGTTTAATGTGTATAGGAGTCATCTCTGCAGTTTAAGTGCTCTTTGTAATGTGTTTAGCAGCAAATACATGCTACACAATTCTCTGATCCTTCAACCAACATATGTTCGAAGACTAAATTATCTGATTAATGATTGTAACTATGATTATGCTCTATGACCTATTACTTCCTGTTTATATGTACACTATGAGCTTAATGCACCACAGACAAATTCCTCATGTGTCCGATCACACTTGGCCAATAAAGAATTATATTCCAATTCTATTCTATTCCATTCCTACTTCTATTCCAAATGCTGCTTTAATTTACAGATTGGAATTAAAATAGGTATTTAAATAAATTCAAAATGTGGGTAGGCTTCTTTAATGGGAATACTGTACTCGTTTTAGTTTTAAAGATGAAATAAAAGTTGTGCCTACCTGAAATTCTTCCTCCAGAACCACCAGTTGTCTATTTTTGTCAACTTTCACTGTTGACAGAGACGGGAGAAACCAATTAACATGTTTTTCACCTCCATCAGTTCCTAGAAAACTTGCAGCCTCAGTTGCATCCCTTCCCAAACCCTCCAGCATGGCTGCTAGACCAGAGTGGGCACAGAGCACTAATCTGGAAGCCCTGACTTTTTAATAGAGCTGAAGAAATCTACAGGAAGCAGGATTAACAGCCACAAGCTGTTTTCGTATCTCCTTCACTTTATTCAAAGTGATGACAAATTCACTGATGTTAAAGGTTGCCTTTACAGCTGTCAGCAGAGTTTCAATGAACATCAAAGCCACTTTAATATAAGGTCCGCAAAGTGCTGATACGTTTCAAAGTAGAAGGCTGCTGTCCTCTTGGGTTAAAAAAACACAATCACAATGGTGTACAATGAATTCATTAAAAGCATAAACATATACGCAAACATAGAGCACACACATGCATAATCACTGAGGAAGCACAAATTCTTGAAATGCATTAGGTTATGAGTGCTGCTTAGCACTAAATTTGTGTGAAATATGGATCAGGCACACTATTTTGCCCTAATAATAGTGCTAAGTCTCAACGCTTGAACATTCAATAAGAGAAAACATGGGACAGAAAATGAACTTGCAACACATAGGTGGTCCACTCACTAATTAAAGCTGTGTTGTTAGTCTCCTTCTGGAAACGAAATTTCTTTAGTTTCTCAATGAGCTCCGGATCTACATCACACACAACCAGAGAGTCTGACTAAAAAAGAAAGAAAGAAAAAGCAATGTGGATTTTCTCTCCCACTCAGGTGCATTATTTCTTTTTCCTGAAGGCAACAAGGATCTCCTTTTCTCTTTGATTACTGCAAAGGGCTGCCTATATTTTCAAAAATTTTAGTCTCATATCCAGTAAAAAAAAAAAAAAAACCACACCCAAATGGGAACAGATGATATATGCCAAATAAGCTTGTTTTCTTAAAACCATAGTGTTTTTCTACAGCTAAAGGATTAGAAGTAACTATAAACTTTAATTGAAATTGATACTAAAAATTCCAATTTCCAGGTGGCTACATGGGTTAGGGACGGATGGGGGAGCTGGTTGCACAAGACAGGGGGATTGTTCGCAACCAGGCGATATTTTTCTAATGTCTTTCTGCTTTTGCAGTTCCTCATTTTTTTAAACAACGAAGTTAACTCTAATCCTCCACAAAACATATATTTTTACATGGAATTTGATTCCTGCATCCTCATTCTGAACATGTTTGGTCCATGCAATATTTGCCTATAATCAATCAATCAAATCTTGATTACAGAGACCAACAAATGCCTACTGTTACAGTTTCTCTCTTATCTCCTCGACCATTTCACCATTGTAATGTTGGACTGTTAGATCTTTGGCAGTGGAAACCATGTTGCCTGTGTGTATTGTTGAACCTACCAAAAAACACAAGGTTATCAGGGGTCAAGTTAATCTCATCTGTCAACCTGGTTTCTAGGATGTTTTATGCTTAAATGAAATTTCTCTAGCCGCTTCTTGAAAACCTGAGAAAAAACAATTCTGACTCTTCATTTCAGGACCAAACAGGCTTAAATCTCCACAAGGCAATCCGCCACTTTGAGATAACTAAACTCAGTTATTCCCAAGCATTCCGAAACACCCTTGTTTTGAAAAGATGAGCTTTCAATCCAGCATACGGCAGGAGAGGAAGTGCGTTTTCACCAACCATCCGCACGAGCCTCAACTGGGGCCATAACTGTTTCTCTTGAAGCTTCATTTTGAGAGATAGCAAAGGAACGGTTCCTTCAAAACCTCCCCCAGATGGACTTTTGCATCTGAAAGACTGACTGACTGAATGGCAAAGTAACCAGTAAAATAAAACAAAATAAAAAGGTCACTTTTCCAAGCCAGCTAACCCAATATTTGAAGCAAGGGCCCCACCCAGAATTAGGAATTGTTTAAGCTAACCATTCTGCCCTGCTGCTCTCCAGTCGTATCTCCTCGTCTGCTGAAATCTCGTAGCTCTGGGTTCAGTGCTTTTTCCCCTGGGCAGGATGTGTTGCTCTTCAGCTCAGCTCTTGCATCCGACAAATGCAAAGGAAAGACAGAGACAGATGCAAAGGAAAGACAGATCGGGAGGAAGTAATTGCTGGTGCTGGGGTGGAGCAAAGAGCAACGCCAAAGGTTTGCATTTTTAGTTGCAAAAGAGGAAGAGTGGCCCAGACCACAAGGTGGGAACTTACACTGCTGTATTCAGGAGTATTTTTCAAAGGAGAATAGGGGCAAGGAGAGATTAAGGCTAGGACGAGGCTGCCGTCCTCAGCTCCAATTCAAATAGTAGTTTAGCAAAGTGGGTCACTCAAGCCAGTACATCCTCTTTAGGAAGAGGAAATTGGTTTGATCCACTAGAGCAGGGGTGGGCAACTATGGCAACTTTACAACACTCGGAATACAGGGATCCAACAGATCTGGGTCAGATCAAGTACGTCCCTTAAACTCAAGATTGGACTATTTCCAGAATCCTCAATCAGCTGAATTCAACTCAATGGAAGGCCAACTGCTGAGAAATAACGGGGCAATCACCTACACAGATTGGATTAGCTACATCTGGTGCTAATATAATCCACTTTATCCTTAATTATCCAAATAAACCACAACTGACTAGGTTCCCACAAATAAAGTCACCTCATCTGTGAGATGGGCAGCATATAAATTTGATTCATTTTTATTTAATATAAATAAACATTCAGGCTATAAAGTAAATAAATAAACATGCTGAATGAAAAGCAAGCAAAGTGATGCCTATTTCCTTGGGGAAAATCCACCATACTGAGTCAAACCCAGATTGGGTGGGTTGATGAACCAGACAAGCAGGAGGCCAATAAACCCCACATCTGCAGGGCCATCTTGAAGAGGAAGAAAGCAACATCACTACACACACACTCCAGGATTGCAGCACATGCCTACACATGGAGGGTTTAGCTCCATGTGTAGGCATGTGGATGGGATGCTCTGGCCCTGTCTTGCATCGCTGGGTTCACACAACAAATTAAGCCTGTTGGGTGAATGGTATAAATGTAAGACTGGTGGACTTCAACTCCCAGAATTCCCCAGCCTGCATACTAATGAATTTTGACTCCCAGAATTTCCCAACCAATACAGAGCAGTTGAAATGGAAGCTAGGCAGACTGCCATTTCCCGGAATAGCATGCTGGCTGGGGAATTCTGGGAGTTGAAGTCTTAAAGCCTCTGAACTTGACAAACAAAGCGCTAGGCCGCAAGGGGATTTATTGGCTGGGGATTCCGAAATGCTACAAAGGCCTGGTTAACTCGGGTTTGGGTTTTCCCATGTTGTGTGAACTCAGCCAAGGGAAGACCCAGATTGGAGAACGTCAGTCTGGGCTCCAGGAGTCGAAAGCTTAAGGCCTGGACCCGAAGGCCGCGAAGGGAGGCGGGGAGCGGAGGGGGCGGCCTCGGGAGTCTCCTGGCAGCCGCCGCTGTGGGAGAACCGCGATTTGGGCGGGAAGCGGGGGCGTGGCCGCTCCTGAGAGACTCTCAGGCTACGCCCCTCTCCCTCTCCGCCTCACGCCTCGATTTCCCGCCAGCTCATTGGCCGCCCGGGAGCACCTTCCGCACAAACCCCTCCCCGCGCGCGCTCCCCACCCCCAACGTCGCGATTGGCGAAGGAGCGTCCGGGGGATTGGCGGCGGCGGAGGAGGGATTAAAGGAAAGGCTGGCGCAGCGCCGGCCAATAGGCGCGCAAGGTGAGTGACGTAACTAGGCGACCAGGGCGAGTGGGTGGATTGGTTGGTTGGTCGGGCCGGGCCGCGCGCTCCCGGGCGTGCGTGTAGGCGTGCGTGCCGCCGTCTCGCCAGGGTGCGTCCCCACGTCGCCGTGCGTTGTGACGTCGCGCGCCCCCCCTCCGGAGTGTGTGGTGGCTGGAGCTGCCCTGCGCGTGCGGGAGCGTGCGAGCGAGCGTGTGAGCGGGCGCGCGCGTGGATGTATGTCTGGACGTGGGTCTCCGGGCGGGGGCGCGCGCGCGTGTGTGGAACTTGGTCTCCCCGGTGGGGCCGGACCGGGCCGCGGCGACGGTGAGTGGGACTGCGGGGGGGGGAGGGAGGGAGGGCGGCGTATCTGAGGCGACCCGGCCGAGCCCCACCCCCACCCTGGGACACCCCCCCTCCCGGGGGGTCCTGGGAGAGCGCCGGCGGCTCCGCCCCCGAGGGACGGGGTCTCGGCGGGCCCCGCCCCGTCCCCCGCTCGCTCGGTCGGAGGGTGACTCCGGGCCCCATCATCCCCAGCCACGCTTTGGGAGGGGCCCCTCCCATCGCAGCCCGAAGGGAGCGGCGGGCTGGACCCGAGACCCTTCCCAGACACCGAAGCCCTCCCTTCATTGGACGGTTGTGGGGGGGGTCGTTTCCTGGCTGTTATAAAGACCCCCCCCATTCGAAGCAGACTTTCCCTTCTGGGGGGGCCGAAGAGCAGCTGGAGGGGGAGGGCAGGGCTCCCCCAGAAGTGGGTGCCCCCCACCCATGAATCAGGCCCCCCTCCTCCTTGGGCACTGGAGCCCCCCCTCGCCTGCCTCCCTGTCCTCTGCTGAAGGGGCTCCTCCGGGTCTGCCTGGACCCGAAAAGCCCTTCCGCTTTTGGGCTGCCCCTACACTTCCCTGACAGCCCCCCAAAACAAATTTAATTTATTAAATTTATATGCTGCCCATCTCACTAGCAAGCAGCTCTGGGCGGCCTGCAATGCCATAAAGGTAGAATAAAAACAATTGCAGAATGAAAAACGTGAAAACATTAGGCATTAAAAGTGAAAGCATGAGAGTTAATAGTAAAGCGGGTAAATTTGCTGGGCTCTCTGCTCGGTCGGTTGCTCCCCCCACCCCCAAGAAGGAGTTGTTGTTAATTGCGAAGTCGTGTCCGACCCATCGCGACCCCATGGACAATGTTCCTCCAGGTCTTCCTGTCCTCTACCATCTTCTGGAGTCCATTTAAATTCACACCTACTACTGCTTCAGTGACTCCATCCAGCCATCTCATTCTCTGTCGTCCCCTTCTTCTATTGCCCTCAATCTTTCCCAGCATTAGGCCCTTCTCCAGTGAGGCCTTCCTTCTCATTAGGTGGCCAAAGTATTTGAGTTTCAACTTCAGGATCTGGCCTTCTAAAGAGCAGTCGGGGTTGATCTCTTCTAGGACTGACCGGTTTGAACGCCTTGCAGTCCAAGGGACTCGCAGGAGTCTTCTCCAGCACCATAGTTCAAAGGCCTCAATTCTTTTGCGTTCAGCCTTTCTTATGGTCCAACTTTCACAGCCATACATTGCAACTGGGAAAACCATGGCCTGGACTATACGCACTTTTGTTGGCAGGGTGATGTCTCTGCTTTTTAGGATGCTGTCTAGCCATATAGCCTCCTCCCAGGAGCAAGCGTCTTTTAATTTCTTGGCTGCAGTCCCCATCTGAGGTGATCTTGGAGCCCAGAAAAATAAAATCTGTCACTACCTCCATTTCTTCTTCCTTGAAGGAAGAGGCGGCTGCTTTTCCGGGTCCACCGGTTTTGCCCCCTTTAAAAAGTGTTTCTCTGGAAGGAAGGGTTGTTTTTTTTTGCTTTCTCCCAGGTCTAAATGGCTTCTGCTGAAGGCATCTGCAGGTGATTTGGGGATTATTTCCACCCCCCCATCTTTCCCGCAGATGGGAAACCTCTAAGGCTACAAATATATCTGGGGGCATTGGCAATTTCTGAAAGTTAAAAATTCAAATGTATGAGAGCAGGCAAAGAGCTTGGGGGGCTGACTGTGACCTTTCAGGTAACGGGGGAACCAGGACCACTTTTCTTCACGGTGTCATAAACAACTTATAAAGTCACTCGGATGTTTCCTTTAGGCGTCTTTTACAGGAAACATTTGCCTTTATTTACCTTACATGGGCTGCCTCATTGTTTTTGTCCTTATGTTGATTGTTGCCTCACATTGTTGCCTTGTGATGCTTTTCTTTTTTGTTCTATCACTCAGCTTGCTCTGCGTGATTATTGCTCGCAGGTTACTTCTCTAGGAGCTGAAATACTATTCTGTAGTTAAATGTCTATGGAGATTCTCAGTCATCGAGGTTGTGGTTGTCCCAAAGGCGCTTTTCAAAAGCAACTGGACTTTCTTGGTTTTTTTTCCTTGAAAAAACCTTTCACTTATCATGCAAAAAGCTTCTTCAGTTCTGTAATTACTTCAGCTCACATTGGGAGGGTTCACAGGTTCAACTTCAAGAGCACCCCTGGACTGAGGATTAGGGGTGACATGATAGCTGTCTTCCAATATTTGAGGGGGTCAACCTGTTCTCCAAAGCACCTGAAGGCAGGACAAGAAGACAGAGAGGGAAACTTAATGAAGGAGAAATCCAACCTAGAATTAAGGAGGAATTTCCTGATGGAACAGTTAATCAGTGGAACAGCTTGCTTCTTGGAGTTGTGGGTGCTCCATCACTGGAAGCTTTCAAGAGAAGACTGAACAACCATATGTCCAGGATGGTATAAAGCCTCCTGTCTTGGGCAAGGCGCTGGACTAGAAGACCTCCAGGGTCCCTTCCATTCTGTTTCTGTGTTTTTATCTTCTCCATCTGAGGAAAACATTATTCTGTTTTGCCAGCTTCTGACCATACGTGGTGGTGATGCCTTGTCTCAGTATGGCCCATGCACTGTGCTGCCAGGTGCTCAACAGAACAGGCTCAAGCCCTCTTTGGGATAGTGGAGACCAAATGCAAAGTGAATACTTCATATTTAGCTCTGGGTGCTTTGTAGAGGTAAAACTGTTCTAGCTTAATAGACTTCCGCATCCTTCATTTTAACCACCTACTTGTTGCTTGCTCTCTGATACGGGTTTTCTTTCATGAAATTACTAATGATGCTCTGACCTTTCTTCCTTGTTGATGAGGGATTTTTTTTTTTTTAAATGACTAGCCCATGTTTGATGGTTGTCTCTGGATCCAGAACAGAAAGTTCCAACTTCTGGAAATGCTACCTCCAAAGGCGATAAAGTGGTGGTAACCCCAAGATGTAAAAAGTTTGTTAATCTGTCTTGGGATCGGTACAGAGATTCTCTCTTGATCCTGAGTCCTGAAATGGATGATGAAAAGAGGATCCAGCTGGGTCAGTTCTTTGCAAAATTTTGATAGCTGGGAAAACCCCACATTGTAAAATTGGAGGCACACTTCAGTTTTGGCTTTTTTAAAACTCATTTTATGAATAACCCTTTAAGGTGAAAGAGCTGCTATTCTGCTTGCAGTTAAGTTCATAAGTTAGTGGCCCAGCCTATATGGAGGGAGTCCTCGACTTACAACCACAATTGAGCCCAAACTTTCTGTTGCTAAGCGAGACATTTGTTGAGTTTTGTCCCATTTTACGACCTTGCCAAAGTGGTTAAGTGAATCACTGCTGTTGAAAAGTTAGTAACCCAGTTATTAAGTGAATCGTGCTTCCACCTTGTCTTTGCTTGTCAGAAGGGGGCCAAAGACCTTGGGACACAGCAAAAGTCACAAGTAGGAAACAGTTGCCAAGCGGCTGAATTTTGGTCACATGATCATGGGGATGCTGCAAAAATGGTAAGTGTGAAAAATAGTCATGTCACTTTTTCCATGCAGTTGTAACTTTGAATGGTCACTAAATGAACTGTTGTAAATTGAGGACTACCTGTAACCTGTTCTCACCTAAAACTTAATTGTGGCTGTGCATCATTTAGCATATTGGGGCAGATTCGTGTTTTAGATTGAACCTAATAATCTTCTGGTGTCTTAACTTATATTAAGTACTTTGTAACTAGGCCCGCCAAGACAAGATAATAGCCTTATGAGATTCTACTCTTTTTTTTGTGGGTTTTAAAACTGGAACTAGAAAGCTGCACTAGATTAGAAATTTAGCACAGGTCCTAATGATCTCCGTCAATAAGAACAAAATTCCGTACTGCATGTGATGGCTGAGACTACGTGAGGCACACTAGAGGCCTATATTTAGCTGAAAGGCTTGTCCTACTTAATATCTATATTGTTTTATTGCCAATGACAGATGCCCTTCTATTGAAAGACAAAATTGTGCCATGAGCGCTCAATCAGATGCCGGGTGTCCATCCTGCCCCTTGATTTGAAAATGTTGGACTGCTTTCAGATCTTCAGATGGGAATGGCTCTAAATTGCGATTTATGGCTCGCTTTTTTTGGTCCTGAGAAAGCCCTGGTTAATGCAATGAAGTAATTTACAGAATAACAGACTTGGAAGGGACCTTGGAGGTCTTCTAGTCTAACCTCCCTGCTCAAGCAGGAGACCCTGCACCATTTCAGACAAGTGGCTGTCCAGTCTCTTCTTGAAAACTTCCAGTGATGGAACACTCACAACTTCTGGAGGGAAGCTGCCCCGCTGGTTAATTGTCCTCATTGTAAGGAAGTTTCTCCCTAATTCCAGGTTGCTTCTCTCCTTGATTAGTTTCCCTCCGTTGTTTCTCAAATGCTGGAAGAAGACTGCTATCATGTCTCCTCTAGTCCTTCTCTTCACTAGACTAGACAAACCCAATTCCTGCAACTGTTCTTCATATGTTTTGGCCTACATCCTCTGATCATCTTTGTTGCTTTTTTCTGCACTCCAGAATTTCTACATTTTTTTTATAATATGGTGACCAAAGCTGGGTGCCCTATTCCAAGTGTGGCTTTACTAAGACTTCATAAAGCGGTACGAAGACTTCTCGTGATCTTGATTCTATCCCTCTGTTGATGCAGCCTGGGATTGCATTGGCTTTTTTGGCTGCTGCCGCCCATGGTTGGCTCACATTTAAGTGATCATCCGGTAGGATTCCAAGATCCCTCTCACCGTTACTGCTCTTGAGCCAGGTTTCACCTAATCTATATCTGTACGTTTGACTTTCCTTGCCCAGCGTGGGTCATTCCACTTTGTGTTCTGTGTGTCCCAGACCGTGAGAACAAAAAAGCCACGATTGACAGGTTGTTGCTCTTCTCCTGCGTAGCTCGTTTGCATAGTTCTTGGCTGGCAAGCGCTGCTGCTGCTGCCATAGAGAACAATGGGTGTGTGTATGTGTGCTTTGGACGTGGTTTGTGCAGAGACAAGTCGGGCCAGCTAAAACTCCGTCTGTTTTTGCAAGAGAGGCGACGGAAGGATCGCCGTGTAGCAAGCTTTAATGGCGGTATACAGGGAGTCCTCGACTTACAACAGTTCATTTGGTGACTTTGAAGTTACAACAGCTCTGAACAAAAGCCACTTATGGCCATTTTTTACACTTAACGACCTTTGCAGCATCCCCATGGTCACGTGATCAAAATTCAGACGCTTGGCTACTGGTTTGTATTTATGACACGGTTGCAGTGTCCTGGGGGGGGTCACGTGATCCCCTTTTTGCCACCTTCTGACAAGCCAAATCAAAGGGGAAACCAGATTCACTTAACACCAACTTAACAGCTGCAGTGACTGACTTAACAACGATGGCCAGCAAGGTCGTAAAATGGGGCAAACCTCACTTAAATATCTCACTTAGCAATGGAAATTTTGGGCTCAGTTGTCGTAAGTCGAGGACGGCCTGTATAGGAACGGGCCACTCAGCTGCTGCTGCCTCTCTTCTTTGACGTCAGCGTGTCTTTTAAGGTGTCTACTGTCAAAGTCGGGGGTGTCCAAACTTGACAACCTTAAGACCTGTGGACTTCAACCCTCAGAATTCCTGGGAGTTCTGGGCGTTGAAATCCACAGGTCTTAAAGTTGTCCAGTTTGGGCAGCCTTGGACAAAGTTATTCTCATTTCTGTTTTGTGCCATGCAAGTCGATAGCCTGTCTAGGAAGAATAAGATTAAGCCTTGCTTTGCCTTAGAAGCTTCACCGGAATGGGCACATTAGAGAAAAAAATCTGACTGCTCTGCAATCAAAGTGTTGTTGTTTTTTTCCTCGCCCACCTAAATATCCTTTTTGCATCCGCAACACAACGAATATGCGTGCAAGTCTTCAAGGAATCCTCCTCCCTCAAAGAGGGCGGCATTAACGTTTCCATCTTAATCCAAAATAGGGACTCGTGCATCGCACGCGGGCAGCTAACCGTATTATGACCTCTTGCTCTGTTCAGAACAAGTTTCATGCTTTCCATCTTTGTATCCTCCCTGCTTGATCCGAAAGCAACGCAATCTGCAGGAATCACAATAGTGGCCTGCTTGAGACTTCCTTTTATTAAGCTCTCCAGCCTCCTTTGGTCTGGAAACGGGTGCTCCGTGGTATTAGCCCCCCAAGTGCAAACCGTGTCGTTTCTCTTGAATCCACTTTCTGAACTGGAAAGCTGGGAGTGAAATTGGAGGATCCTGTTGTTTTCTGGTTTACAAGTCCTATTTTTGGACCTGTGGCAGTGATGTTTCCTTGATTTTGATATGCAGGGTGAGAACATGCCTTATTGTGCCCGGAGGGTAACCACAACTCAGCTGCTTTGTGTTCTTTTGCGCCAATTAAACATTCTGCAGGGTGTTTTAGGGTAGCAAAATAGGCTTAGCCCTGCATTCTTGGAGTCAGTGGGGGAAATAGCCACAAGTGTTTGGTAAAGGATATTTCGGCTTAGTTGAGTCACTGTAACCTGACTAATTCTAGGTTTCTAGTCCTGGTTTGTTTGTATAACTGAAATACATTTCTCTGGGCAAAAATCTTGAGAGCAGATGTCAAAGTTTAATGTGCAAGAAGTTTCAAAATGAAACACAGGTTGTTCTCGGCTTAATTCATTTAGGGACTGTTGAGAATTATAACAGCATCAAAAAAAAAGTGGCTTAGGACCATTGTCACACTTATATCTGTTGCAGCATCCCTGTGGTCACGTGATCAAAATTTGGGCGTTTGGCCATTGGTTCCTATTTATGACGGCTGCCGTGTCCCAGGGTCCTGTGATCCCCTTTTGCAACCTTCCGACAAGCAGAATCATTGGGGAAGCCGGATTCACTTAACAACCGTGTTACTAATTGCAGTGATTCACTTAACAACTATGGCAAGAAACATAAAATGAGGCCAAAGCTTACTTAACAACTGTTTTGCTTAGCTCAGTTGTTGTCGTAAGTTGAGGACTGCCTATATCCTCTTTCCACCAAGTTTAACTAACCTGGAGTCACGCTCTCTGTTAGACTATTTTTTGGCTTGTTGTCTTTTTGGTGCTGTTGCTGGACCCCTCTTCCCTCTTCTATGCTCCTGGTCACTTCCTACCTGTGTGGCAAAGGGCCTCTTTTCCGTGAGTGTGTGACAGCAGCGGGTGGCATTTGGCGTGCTGCCTTCCTCTTTGAAGGTACAGTTAGGGCCAGCTGCCTCGCTGCCCCTCCAGACTCCTCCTGGTTGTTTTCTTTGGGGAGTAGGCTTGCTTCAGTTATCTTTAATTATAGTGCCCAGAGAATAGAAGGGCCCCAGACAGCCGTTTCCTCAGTCTATTCTTTCCCTTTCGTTTTTTTTATTTAAAAATTGCAGATGCTCTCTGTTTGTAGAACTGCTTTAATAGAAGTATAGTTTTGGAACCCACTTCTCCCTCTACCGAAACAGGGATGTCCGAACAAGGACAGTGTCCAGAGGCAACGGTAGCTGGGCTAGGCTTATGAATGTATTGTTTTTAATGGATTATTTCCTCTCTTCTGGGTTGTCCCAAAGGTGCTTTTTCAAGAGGCAACTGGACTTCCTTGGTTTTTCCTTGGAAGATGTTTTGCTCTCATCCAAGAAGTTTCTGAGAAGAACTGAAGAAGCTTCTTGGATGAGAAGCGAAATGCCTTCAAGGAAAAAAAGACAAAGTCCAGCTGCCTCTTGAAAAAGCGTCTTTGGGACAACCCTGGCCTGGTTGATGAGAATCTCCATAGACACTTTTCTGGATTGCTCTTGTCCTGCCTTGAGTTCCTGCATCTTAACCCAGACTGCAGAATTTCAGATTTTCTGTTTGTTCGCACGCTGGCTGGCTGGCTGACTTTGATTGGCAGTTAATTAGATTCATCCATCTCAACTGGCTTCTGTCTCCTTTGGGGGTCTTGGAGAAGTCATTTAAAGCTTTCACGATATTGCTTCTTGGGGCTGCATGATTTGCATAACTCTCTCCATTGAGCATCTCAAAATGCAATTTGTCGGGGATGATTGTCCTCACACTCTATTCTTTTTGACACTCATCCAAACACCGTCTCCCTAATTCCATGCCAGCTTTTTCTCTGACTAGCCATCTTTAATATGAAGAACGTCAGGTTCATTGTTCAGTGCAAATAATTCCCAATGTAGCTTAACACAAGAATTAAGAAAACACAGGTTTCTGGGCTTAGGTGCTCCTTAACAGAATAACAGAGTTGGAAGGGACCTTGAGGGTCATCTAGTCTAACCCCTTGCTCAAGCAGGAGACCACTCTATACCACTCCAAACAAATGGCTGTCCAGTCTGTTCTTGAAAACCTCCAGTGATGGAGCACCCACAACCTCTGGAGGGAAGCCGTCCCACTGCTTCATTGTCTTCACTATCAGGAGGTTTCTCCTTAGTTCCAGGTTGCTTCTCTCCTTGATTAGTTTCCCTCCGTTGCTTCTTGTCCTGCCTTGAGATGCTCTGGAGAATAGGGGGACCCCCTCCTCTTCTTTGGGGCAGCCCCTCAAATACTGGAAGACTGCTATCAGGTCACCCCTATTCCTTCCTTTCATCAAACTAGACATACCCAAGTCCAGCAACTGTTCTTATATTTGTACTGTTAAGTACACTGTTTTCTTTTTACATCTGTGTTTCATGTTCCCGGTTTGGGAATGTGCTAGATCAGCCTCGGCCACCTTAAGACTAGTGGATTTCAACTCTCAGCTGGCTGGGGAATTCTGGGAGTTGAAGTCCACAAGTCTTAACGAGGCCAAGGTTGAACACCCTGTGCTAGATAATAGAGCAGTGTTTCTCAACCTTGACAATTTTAAGGCATGTGGACTTCAACTCCCAGAATTCCACAGCCAGCATTGCTGGCTGTGGAATTCTGGGAGTTGAAGTCCACATGCCTTAAAATTGTCAAGGTTGAGAAACACTGTAATAGAGAAATGGGGAGCGATTTCCAGAGTATCCTATGTATTTCTCTCTCTCTTGTACAGGGAGATCTGAAAGGATCTGTCAAAGAAGAGGAATCCCAAAGGGCTTGCAGAGAACCAGGAGCTTCTGACCTACTTCTGTGCCACCCTGTTTCCCTGTTAGTGTGAAAATTGGTGTCGTGGTGCTGCCTAGGTGCTAAGCCCCCCTCCTTGAAAACATGTGAGGGGTGCCCCTTTCCCTGTACCTTCCTTGACCCCTTTGTGGGGGCGTTGCTGCTAAGGCCAAGGCGCTGGCCATCATGATGTTCCGGGATCAGGTGGGCATGCTGGCCGGCTGGTTCAAAGGCTGGAACGAATGTGAGCAGACGGTCGCCCTGCTGTCCCTTCTCAAGCGTATCTCTCGCACCCAAGCCCGCTTTCTGCAGCTGTGCCTGGAGCACTCGCTGGCCGACTGCACAGAGATCCATGTTCTGGAGTCAGAAGCTAACAGCGCAGGTAAGTCAGTGGGGTTTTTGTGTGTGGGGGGGGAGTTTGAGCTTTTTTCCTCATTAGCTTTTTGTTTGCATCCAGATAGCTTGCCCATTTGGGTACCGCTAATCCTTGCTTTATGACCATTCCTTTAGTGACCGTTTGAAGTTAACTTCACTGGAAAAAAGGACTTATGACCGTTTTTCGACTGTTGCAGCATCCGTGATCAGAATCCAGGCACTTGGCAACTGGCCTGTGTTGGTGACGGTTGCCCTGTCCCGGGGTCGGTCACGTGATCAAAATTTGCAACCTTCCCAGCCGGCTTCGGACAAGCAAAGCCAATGAAGGAAGCCAGACTTGCTTAATGACTGCATGATTCCCTTAACAATGGCAGGGATTTGCAAGGCCGGCTGGGGAATTCTGGGAGTTGAAGTCCACAAATTGTAAAGTTGCCTAGTTTGGAGAGCCCCGTCCCAGATCCTGCCGGCTGAAATTCCTTGGCTGAAGGGGTTTGCAGTGTATGCATCACACTGTTAAATATAACAGTCATGTATAAATAAGACCATATAAAAGGTAGGGTGGCGTCTGATAGGGCCTTTGAGGCGCCGCTCTTGTGGCAGCAAGTCAGCGATTGGCTCGTAGGCCAGGGGTGGGGGACGATGGCTCTTTTAGGACTTGTGGACTTCAACTCCCAGAATTCCTGAGTCACAAGTCCTAAGTGGGCCATCGTTCCCGAGGCCTGACGTAGGCCTTGATAGGAAGGATCCTGCCTCAAGCTTAGGGCCTTCCCTCGCAGACCCTGAAAGTGGTTCCTGTTCTTAAGCATCCGGTTTGTGTCACTCCTCCTCTCCTTCTTCTCCCCACCAGCCCTCATCAACCAGTGGCATCAAGAGCCCAAAGACAAAGTCGTCTCCCTGCTCCTCTCCCACCTGCCCCTCCTCCAGCCTGGCAACGCAGACGCCAAGTCCGAATACATGAAGCTTTTGCAGAAGGTGCTGGCCTACTCCATCGAGAGCAACCTCTTCATTGAAGAGAGCCGGCAGCTGCTCTCCTACGCCCTCATCCACCCGGCCACCACCGTGGACGACCGCAGCTCCCTGGCCCTTTGGCTCAACCATCTGGAGGAGCGCCTTTCCATCGGCTACTCCAGCCAGGGCAGGGGACGGCCAGACACGGCCTACCACTCGCGCCAAGGCTCAGACGACTGGCAAGGCCCAGTGGAGACGGGCCTCGGAGATCTGGGGCACGGCTGGCAGGAGAAGGCACCACGGGAAAACGGGCACCTGTCCTTCCACCCTGCCGGCTCGGTGTCCTCGGCCATCAATAGCATTGGGAGCAGCACGGGCAGCACAGGTTCGGAGAGGCCTTGCTGGGGGCGGGGGGGGGGTGGTAAATGGGGGTGTTGCCATCCAGGCTGGGATATGTGTGAGGAGCTGGGAAAACGTTTCATATTTCCGGATCAAAATAGCCTTTCCTGTGAAATACGTTCAGATCCCGGCTTGTGAGCTAGGAAACCTCCACCTGGGGGGACCCCTCCGGCCCCTGGACCTCGTAGTTTGGGTGCCAGCCGTCCAACCTAGAGCTTTTGTTGTTCGACTTTCTGAATGCCTTGGCCGTTTGTTGGGCTGAGGAGGCACAGCTTTGCCGGAGAAGCTCTTCCTCCAGATGAGAGCCAGTTTGGTCGGGGGGTGAAGGCACCTGGCTAGAGACCAGGAGACTGGGAGTTCTAGTCCTGCCTTAGGGACGAAAGCCAGCTGGGTAACCTTGGGCCAACCACAATGTCTTTCCCATAAGAGGAATGTGGTAATTTTGTGACCGGTGCGCCCTCCTCCCGTCTCTTCCTCGCAGCTCTTCCTTGCCAAATCCACCCCAGCCCGCTGAAGCGCTCCATGTCGCTCATCCCCACGGGCCAGCAGGTCCCCAGCGAGTGGATGAACATGGACGAGATGGGGGCCAGGTCGGCCTTCATCTCCGGCGGGGAGCACGCCCCCCTCTCGCCCCAGAGCAGCGTGGCTTCCTCGGGCAGCGAGCAGACGGAGGAGCAGCCCGGTGGTCGGAACTCCTTCCAGGAGGACGGCAGCGGCATGAAAGGTACGGCAGGTGCAGGAGACGGGGACCGAATCACTGCCCCCCAGGTCCGAGCCGGCCAGGGTGGAGAAGGCCAACTCAATAATATTTCTTGCTTCACCCCAAAAGGGTCTCCCTGAAGCTTCTGCTGGAGGGCCGCAGGTAGTCACTTCCCTGGTGCTCTTCTCCAGGAAAGGGGGCTTTGGGCACGGGGGTCTTGACTCCTCGGTCCTTTCCCACAGATGTTCCCTCGTGGCTGAAGAGCCTCCGTCTCCACAAATACGCAGCGCTTTTTTCCCAAATGACTTACGAAGAGATGATGACTCTCACGGAGCAGCATCTGGAATCGCAGGTACTGCGGGGCAGGGAGGAGAGCAAGGAAAAGGGGGCTGCCCCCTGCCTGACGGGGGTCTGCTCCCTGCCTCGTTCGAAAGGCTGGCATTTGGGTGGTGCCTGGGAGAGCCAGCGTTGTTTCCAGTTCCTGTGACTTTGGTCGCAGGGGCGTCCTTGCACTGCGACGCCATGCACCGTCGCGGGGGCCTCTCTGAAGACGTGGAAAGGTCTGAATTCAGTTCTCTTCTTCTTCCCCGAACAGAATGTGACCAAAGGAGCGAGGCACAAAATTGCCCTAAGTATCCAAAAGTTGCGCGAAAGGCAGAGCGTCCTGAAGTCCTTGGAGAAGGTGAGGGAGCTGTTGAGCGGGCCTGGGATTCCATGGGCTTGTGTGAGTGGTTCAGACTCAGAGCAGTGGTTCTCAGCCTGTGGTCCGCAGACCTCTGTGGGGCTGTGATGTCACGGGGGGGGGGTGTCTGTGAAGCCTTGAAGAGACGTTAGGATTTAAATCTTAAGTCTTGGGGATCCGTGGCCACAAAAGGTATTTAAGGGGGTTGAAAACCCCTAGTCTAGTCCAATTTTTCTCAAACTCGGAAATGTTAAGATATGTGGACTTCAACTCCCAGAATTTCTCGGCCAGCACAGCAGAATTCCAAGGGGACCCTTCTCCTTTGTTTTGGCCTCCCCCTTTTTTCTCTCCAGGACATTTTGGAAGGGGGGAACTTATGGAACGCCCTTCAGGAGCTGCAGCAGATCATCACCACCCCCATCAAGGCCTTCCACGCTCTGCAGGCTGCGGCCGCATCCAAGGAGGCCCAGCCATTGGCCGCCGAGCCGAGGGGGGGTCCCAAGCTGGCTCTGGAGAAAAGCAGCAACAGCACCGAGGGCAAGGAAGCCACCGACGACCCCTTCCCGCCCCCAACCGGCTCTCCGTGCGATGGAGAATCCGGAGCGGCACCGATCGGCGAAGGGGACATTGCAGGGCAGTTCACTCGCGTGATGGGTAAAGGTGAGCTCTCTGGGGCGGGGGGGGGGGTTGTCCCCCAGTCACCAGGACAGGTTAGGCTGACTTTTTTTGGAGACAACTTCAAGAAAAGTAGAATGTGTGGACTGCGCTGTGGGTGTGTTTCCCCCATATGGAAAGCTCTGTCTCGTCAGCTGCTCTCAACGTTCCCAAAGTTTAGAGGATGGATGAGGTGATGTTTCTTATTGATAGAATATTTGTTGCTCAGATGTGAACTGTGGGATCCTTGGTGCTCTGTCAGCCGGGTTGTTTTCTTCCAGACGTCTCATGATCCAACTAGATAATATCATCAGTGCCCCATTCCTACTAGCCCTGTTGGGTGTTATCTAGTTGGATCACGAAACGTTTGCAAGAAAAGCACAAGCTCAGAGTCCCAAGGAGCCCACAGTCCTCGTCCTCCCCCTCCCCCTCCCCCACTCCATTGTAGCACTGATGTTATCTGGTTATCAGATGTTATCCAGAGGAGGAAGAGCAAAAGGACTCCGGGATCTTCGGAGCTCTCTGAGCTTGGTGGTTTTCTTCCAGACGTATCATGACCCAATGAACATCATCCATGCACTCTGAGCTTGGTTGTCAGTGCACTGATGATGTTACCTAGTTGGGTAATGAAACATCTTCAAGAAAACCTCTAAGGAAGCACCAAGGACCCCTCAGATATTTCTTATTGTGCCTTTATGTTGAATTTGGCTTCTGGTTTACCAGCTCTGATATAAACCTTTGGGAGTTGCTTGAATTTAGTGGCATATAAGCAAGACAAACAGTGCCACTCCAACCGGTCTGGTTTCTCCACCTCTCCAGAACCCCTTTGTAACCATTTCCTCCTCCTTCTCCTCCTCCTCCCTCACAGTGTGTACGCAGCTGCTCGTCTCCAGGCCGGATGAGGAGAACATCACCAGTTACCTCCAACTGATAGAGAAGTGCTTGATGCACGAGGTAGGCCTGGGCGTTACGGGACACACACACACACACACACCCAGAGATCGGCCGTCTGAGTGCTGATTCTTTACTTTCACAACATGGCTGTCTTTCCACCCCCCTCCCGTCAGGCCTTCACCGAGACCCAGAAAAAGCGTCTCTTGTCCTGGAAGCAGCAGGTCCTGAAGTTGCTCCGTACATTCCCGAGGAAGGCTGTGCTGGACATGCAAGGCTATCGCCCCCAGAAAGGGTAGGTCAGGACACCATTGGGGTGAAATGCGAGCAGGCCGTCCAGTTGGGCACAAGGAACTTTCTAGGCCGGTTAGAGAGCTCCGGGCTTTTTTCTGTGGACCAGGAAGGAAAACCCTGCAAGGTTGGCCAGACTAAGAAATGGACACCGTGTAGATCGGGGTCCTCAACCTTGGCAACTTCAAGACTTGTGGACTTCAACTCCCATAATTCCTCGGCCAGGCAGAGGAATTCTGGGAGTTGAAGTCCACAAGTCTTAAAGTTGCCAAGGTTGGAGAGACCTGGTGTGGACCTAGGGCTACTTTTATAGGTATACTAATAGTTTTAACTCTTCTGTTGTGTCCGAGCCTTGGCGACTTTGTGGGCAAGCCTGTCAAGCACAGCTTCTTTCAGTTGTTGGCTGTTCCTCTTTGTATCGGCTTTGATGGCATCAAGCCAGCAGGTTCTTTGCTTGCCCCCTCGTTCTTGACCGTGAACCAATCCTAGCCTCACCGACACCTGTGCAGGAGCAGAATTCAGTTCCAAAAATGTACTCGGAGTCTTTCAGAGCTTTCTGAGCAGCTGTTGCACTAGCTAACATTATGACAAGTGAAGGGCAACATTGTCGGTTTGCGGTGTCAGCCTGCCACGCAAATGACACTTCAGAGATCCTTTGTGGGAAACCAGATCGCTGTCGGAACTATTTCCCAAGCCGCCGGCTTAAACCCGTAAATCCTGATGAGCTTTGCCGCTGATGGCTTGCGAAAGTGAATTCAGCTCAACAATAGAAATGGCTTTCTTTTATGCTTTGAAATGACAGGGAGATTTTTTTTTCATTGAACGATGCTTTCATATCTAAGGGAAGCTGTCACTTTAGTTAACAACAACCAAAAAAGCCTTCAAGTGCCCCTGTGCTATTGTGAGGTTGCAATATGCAAATGTAAACTGCTCAATTTGGGGCCTTTTTTAAAAAGAGGGGGCTTCATTGACCCATCCCTATTCAGAGTGAGGAAATTTGGGGGGGCTTCCCTGCAGCTCCTCCTAGCTGGGGTCTGTTAGCTCACTTTGCTCTTTGCGGTTGGGATGGGGGGGAGTCAGCAGTGTTGGAGGGCGGGGGAGAGAAGGCATCCAAGGGTCCAAGCCCCTTGAGGGAGGGGCCGTTCTTCTGAGCTGGTTTAATGGCTTGGGCTCCCGTGGGCAGCCAGTGGCAACGCTTTGGGTGGTAGAGGAATTCCAGACTCCACCAGGGTGGTCTGGCCACCGATAGGATTGACTTCCTGTGTTTTTGCAGATGGGCCTTTGGCTCCAACTCTCTCCCCATAGCTGGATCTGTGGGGGTGGGAGTGGCCCGCCGAGGACAGAGGCAGTTCCAGATGCCCCCCCGTGCCCTCCCCCCAAGCCGCATGGGGATCCTGAGTCCCGTGGGGATCGGTGGAGTCTCTCCACGGCACGGTCTGACCAGCCCAAATCTGGGGAGCCAAGGTCGGCAGGTAAGATCCGGCTTAATTTGGCAGAATGCCTCGGAAAAATTGCTGCCGGTCAAGAGGTGCCTTGACTGGGAGAGGGTTGGGGGGGGGGAATCTTCGGCCACCGCCCCAGAGTGAGTCCGCCCCCTGCTCTCTCCTTGCACCGCCCTTGGTCCACCACACAGGAGCAGCCTCTGTCAACGGCCTCTCGCCTTCTACCAAGACCTCTCTGTCAGCCAGGTTGCCTGTCTCTGGGATGAACTGTTTCTGTTGCTTCAAGTACAGCCCCCTGCTCAAGAGGCAAATGGCCGTCCGGCCTCTTTTTAAAAACTCCCAGTGATGGAGCGCCCACGGCTTCTGCAGGGAAGCCGTTCCCTTGGTGACTTGTTTCTCACTGTCAGGAAAGCTCTGGTGTGGATAGCCGTGTTCCAATATCTCAGGGGCTGCCACAAAGGAGGGGGGAGGGGGGTCCACCTATTCTCCAAAGCCCCTGAGGGCAGAACAAAAAGCAGCGGATGCAACTAAGGAGAAATTTCATAACGGTGAGAACAATCAATCAGTGGAACAGAAGTTGTAGGTGCTCCATCGCTGGAGGTTTTTAAGAAAAGACTAGACAGCCACCTGTCTGAAATGGTCTAGGCCAGGGGTAGGCAACCTTGGCTCTTTTATGGCTGGTGGACTTCAACTGCCAGAATTCCTGAGCCAGCAGGAATGATAAAAGAGCCAGGGTTGCCTACCCCTGGTCTAGGCTCTCCAGCTTGAGCCGGGGGTTGGGCTAGAAGACCCTCAAGGTCCTTTCCAACTCTTACCACTCCGTTGGGATCAAGGAGTTACGGTTGGGTGAGACAGAGGAGATTCTCTTGCGGCATCGATGCTTGGCTTTGCATTTCAGAAAGATTATTTATTCCTACTTCATGTGTCTGAACCGCCAGTCTCCCCAGAGAGGGCCTCTGAGATCCTGTGCCAACGAGTTTCTTTCCTGTCCCGTAGAACCTCTGGTTTGCCAATCCCGGTGGCAGCAACAGCATGCCCGGCCAGAACCGCAGCTCAGTCCAGCGGACCCACTCGCTGCCCGTCCACACCTCCCCTCAGGCCATCCTCATGTTCCCACAGGGTGAGTAAGCCGGCCCCTCCGCCTGTCACCTGCGTAGGAGGCGTCCGTCTTCGTCCTGCGGCAGGGGAATCTCTTGGGAACGCTGCTCTCGGGATGGGATTTTTGCCCTGGAGCACCAGCCCTTCCTTAAGCGAGGGGTTAGGTCTTTGGGTGAGGGTCTGCGAAGGGCTTTCTCCTCATGTTTAAGGATCGGCCCCCATCCTCTGTCCTCTCCCTGACTTGAGCAAATTTGCGGCATCTGTATTTCACCACGGCTCCTAAGCCCCAGCCACAGGCCGTGCCACCTCCTCTGTGGACCGCCAGAGCCACCCACGGCTGTGCCTGATGGTTCTTCTGATCTTTCCTCCAACCTCTCAGATTGCCAGCTCCCTGGAACGGATCTGGAGATCAACCCCACCTTGGAGTCCCTGTGCCTGAGCATGACGGAGCACGCGCTGGGCGGTAAGGAACCCTGGGCTTTCCCTGAGGGGGGAGGGATTTTTGTTAAGGTCTGGAACAAGGATTGGGCGACACCCATGTCAGCAGTCTGACAGGGCAGTCCTGCCCGCTGCTTTCTCTCAGCTTGGCCTACTTGCAGAGTTATTGTGGACAAAAATTTAGAAGGGCCACATGCACCAATTTGACCTCCTGAAGGAAAAGTGGATATAAGTCTAAGCAATACAGCAGCGCTCTTCAAAGTTGGCAACTTTCAGACTTGTGGAATTCAGCTCCCAGAATTCCTCAGCCAATGTGCCAGGCTGAGGAATTCTGGGAGTTGAAGTCCACAAGTCTGAAAGTTGCCATGGTTGGCCAGCCCTGCTCTAATCTCTCTTTGTGTGGGATTTCCTGGTTATACCCAACCTGAGAAGACTCCAAGATCCCCAGGACATCAAAGCCCACCCCCCCACCCCCGTGTCTAGAAAACACCCGTGACCCTAACCCCTGTCCTCTCTTTTGCAGATGGGACGGACAAGACCTCAACCATCTGAACAAGCTGGATCTGCGGGCATATTATGAGAAGCTTTAGGATGGCTGTTTTATTTTTTTTTCTCCTCCCATTCCTTTTTTTGTTTGTTTGTTTTAAACCCTCCCCCAGGGGTATGTCACTACGGGGGTAGCTGAATAATTTTTTGTTTTCCTCCTCTCCCCCCCCCCAAAAAAATCCCTCTTTCTCCAGCATTCCTTAGCAGCCAGAGGAATAGAGGAGAAAAAAACCTGTCACTACAATCTTTACCATCTTATTGCGTTCTAATATTTTTTTTCTTCTATTTTTTATTATTCTTATAACTTCAGATATTGGTTTAATATTTTGATGTACAGGGGAGGTGGCGGTCTCTCCGGTTTAACGTGCAGATGCAGGGGCCTAAATTAGGCCCGGTATAATTCTTTTTCCCGATTTGTTTTCCCTCTCTCGGCCCCCTTCCCTCCTTTCCAGTGCCTGCCTACCTCTCCCTCCTTCCCTTCTGCGTAAGGAAGGAACAGGGGAGGTAATCCAAGAGGACACCTGAGTAGAAACAGAGTTCACCCCCCCCCCCCTTGTATCGGGGATGTTGGGGGGGGGAATGAGACAGGCTGGCAAACCAAGAACCATTTTCACCGCTAGTTTTGGGTCTCTGCAGGGAGGAGGAGGGGAAGGGTGCAGCAGGTGACTTGTAAAATTTTAAAAGTGCCTCTATTACTTGCTTCCACCGAGACTGGTGAGTGGGGTGGGAGGGGGACCCCAGGGAACGGCCCAGGGAGGACGGGGGTGTCCAGCACACAATTGGGGTTCGTTTTCATTTTTACGCTCTTGAAACAACCTCCAGCTCTTTGAGGAACCGGGCGGAGTAGCTTAGGCCTCTCCCAGAAATAGCGTGGGATTTTTTTCTGAACCCCTTCAGTTCCTGCCCGGTGAGGCTTGTTGTTGTTGTTGTTGTTCTTTTTCTTTTTTAAAAATGTGGCAGTATTAAGCCTAGTTCTGTTGAAGCAGTTTGGGTGGGTGGAGCGGAGGTCACCAGTTTCAGAAGCCGAATTCTCAGTTGAGCTGATTTGAGTTCCGGGCACGGCTTCCAGACCCTCTTTACTCTCTTCCCTTTCCCTAACCTCCCTCCCCCCCAGGTCAGGTTGTGGAGGGGGGCAGGGAGGGGGTAAATGGTCAGAATACCTGTGCAGCATCTCCCAAAACTGGTCAAGAGTTTTTCTCTAGTTCAATCGTTGGGGTTGAGTAATTGTGTGTCTTCCTTTGTTGAAAGGGGTGATAGGGAGAGTGTGAAGGTAGGACCAGGGCAAACTGGCCATAGCAGGACCTGAGGACAGGGTGTGTGAGGGTGCGTGTGTGTGTGTGTGTGTGTGTGTGTGTGTGTGTGTGTGTGTTCCCCTCCACCCAATTTCCTGGTACTTAGCAAAGTTGAGGAGCAGAAAGGGTGATATTTGCAAAGCCAGGAAGAACTTGATCAGATGCTGGCATGCAAGTGATCCAGGATCATCGTGGCTAATTGGGACTGGGAGGGGGGAGGAAAGACTTTGGGGGTGCATCCCAGTGGGCTACAAGATTTGGGTGAGGGTTGTGGGGGGGCGGCATCAGGCCGGACACCCACCTTCGCACATCTCCAGCCGGTCTGCGCCGCCTTGTTTACAGTTTCCTAGTTTCGGATAGCTTTACTGCAGGAGGGAGGGGAGGACATTGCTACCTGCCCCCCCCCGCCTTTCCCCGGGGAGGCAGGGCCAGGAAAGACGGGGCAGGGCTGGACTGGCAAAGACCAGCCTTACCTCTTGATTGCAGGTCCACGTAAGCAGGGTGAGAGGACGAGCGAGGGTGGGTGTGCGGGCTTCACAACTGGGGGGCAAGGGTAGTTTGCCCACTAAGGTAGGGGGCTGGGGGGCGTCCTGTGGGTTCTGCCCCCTTCAGCTGGGCGTGGTGCCCCTGCTGGGGGTGGCAGCGTCTCTTTGTAGCCCCTCCCCTGTCCACCAGCGTCAGCCAGTTCTTAGGTACCGAATTCTCGCCGAGTCCCCTCTCCCCTCTCACACCGACGAGAGCTGTTCGAAGTCTGAAAAGCCTTTTTCCAAAGTGTATACCGAAGAGTAGTGTACAAAAACAAAACGAGACAAAAAAATGAGAAAAACAAACCAGACAGAGCTACTGTATTTCTTAAAAAAAAAAAAAAAAAGTAGAGAGACAAGGTTCCTGTTTGAAATAGAAATGTTATTTTAGATACATTTTATTATGAATAACTTTTGTTATGACTATGGCTGGTAACCATGAATACGTTATTTAAAAAAAAAACACACACACAAAATGTTTTACAAAAAAAAAAAAAGATCAAATTCTGACTTTAGATTGCTTTGTTGGACTCCTTTGCTGCTTTCCCCCCCCCCCTTTCTGGTTTTTTGCTTTGTAAAAGGCATATACAGAATTTAAGCATTAGTCCTTTTTTTATTAACCTCTATGATAAAGCTGTGCTTATTTTGTATTATTTTTTTAAGTGCTTGGTTTATTAGGGTTGGGGAGGGGGTCTTGACTCAGCTCGGTATTTCGGTGGCCTTAATGGAAGAGGCGGCTGGAGAAATTCAGCAAGGGGGTGGGAGGGGGGCTGCTAAAAGATTGCCTTGCTCTACCACTGGGGTCCCCAGGATGGCGGGCTCACCGAGATTAATCCAATCATCGGGGTCTCATCCTTTGCAGTGAGCACCTAATCTGGGGTGGGAGGTATTTAAAGATAGGTCTGACCACCGAGTCATTTTCGATTGGGGAATATCTGGGTTGTCTACCTTGGAGGAGGGGCTGGGCAGCCTGTTGAAGGAAGAGCAGCTTCTTCGGACCGACTGAGCCCGCGTTGGGGCGTGTCGGGTGTGAAAGGCGCACAGGTGAAGATCCAGTTAAGCTGATATATTGCTAAGGGCCTGTGCGCAGGAATCTTCTGTCAATAGTTGGCATCTGCTTGGAGTTAGATATGGGGCTATACTTAGTTCACTTATGGCTATGTAGGGATGCCAGGCCAATACCTCTTTTAACTCCGCCCCCCAGGTTCTCCCTACAGTGCTTAGACTTATATACCACTTCACAGTGCTTTACAGCCCCCTCTAAGCAGTTTACAAAGTCAGCCTATCGCCCCCAAACAATCTGGGTCCTCATTTTACCAACCTCGGAAGGATGGAAGGCTGAGTTGACCCTGAGCAGGCCAGGATCGAACTGCTGGCAGTGGGCAGAATTAGGCTTAAATCCTGCACCACCACGTTTCTTAATGGCACCTTCAAGCACAGCATTTCCCAAATTTGGCCATTGCCAGGCGTATGGACTTCAACTCCCAGAATACTCATCAGTGGACATGCTTGGTGGTGGAATTCTGGGAGCTGAAGTTCATAAGTCTTGAAACTACTAAGCTTGGATGCCTGCAGTCTATAGAGATTTGCCTTTTGAAGTTCCACTCCTGCGTTTGCCTTGGAGGGGTCCCAGGGTCAATGTCCAGGCTCATGGGGTGGGGGCTGGGGGTTTCCTCTGGGATCACCCCCCCTGCTCCAGCCAACGGGAGGGGTGATAGCTTCGGTGATGCTTCCCCCAAATCACTTCTCGGTCTCACTGAACTTTAAGGACCCCCATTCGCAAGTCCCTTGAGCATCGTCCTAACTTGGAACAGTCACTGAACGAACGGTCGTAACTTGAGGATGTCCTGTATTACAAAAGCAGTGGCGCCAAATGAGCTTTCTATCATGTTAGCCAATTGCCATTGGCGAGTTCATCAGCCTTCCTCTCTATAGGAATGCTCGGGGACCCGTTTTTTTAATACATTTTAGCACACGTGGCAATCGTCACATCAATTTAAAGGCCCCTGTTGTGATGGATAAGTTTGTATACGTGACAACCCAATTTGGGGAAAATTTATCCTAAGTTGGGACGCACTGTGTTAGGTGGACATTTTTCATCTAACGGGCTGGCTTAGCAGCTGTAGGAAGCCAACCTCAGTTTGTTCTCAACACGGGCAACGATCTATCAGGACTTCCTTCTATGGCACCTCCATAACAGTTGCCCGGGGGCATCGGTCCCTTGGCAACACCTGCCGCCTCCCAGTCTTTTGGGCCCCCTCTCCCTGCTCAGCCAGACAGCCCCTCCTGACCAGGTCTCAGTTTGGGGGGGGGTCCCTTTCAAAAAGCAAAGTCAGGCTCTCGAGCCCCCCTGTACTGGGAGCAGAGTTGCAGGCTGCTTGGACACCTTGTTCCCATCAGCCCTGGTTTTTCACAGTGGGGGAAGCTTTGGGGGCTTCCCCCCCCTCTTGTGAAATCATCCTGGCTGAGAAGGCTGGGCACGAGAAATAAGCTTTTCAGGGGCCACCAGGCTGCTTGTTCAGCCCCCTTCCCAACATAAGAGGAAACTGCAGCACGACTGGATCAAGGAGGTTTTAATGATATACAACGGTGCAGAGCAACAGGTTGTGAAGGAAGCCGGACAGCAGGAGTTCAAAGGTGGAGACTTTCACAACCACACACCCAGGATGCCTCCCCAGGGACAACGCAGGTGAGGTTTCTGGATCTGTGGCGACCGTGTCGTGTCCCTCGAGGCGAGACGCTTGTGGTTCCCTCTGCTGCCCTGCGGCCACCAGGATTTGGGGTGCTTTTGAGATCTCCCCAGAGCAGCAACCACCAGTAGTCCTCAACTTATGACTACAATTGAGTCCAAAATTTCTGTTGCTAAGCGAGACAAGTGAATTTCACCCCATTTTACGACTTGCCACAGCTGTCAAGTGAAGCACTGCAGTCGTTAAGTTAGTGGCACGGTCGTTAAGCGAATGGCTTTCCCCCATTGACTTAGCTTGTCAAAAGGTTGCAAAAAGGGATCACGTGACCCAGGGACATGGTGACCATCATAAATATGAGCCAGTTGCCAAGCGTCTGAATTCTGAACATGTGACCACGGGAGTGCTGCAACAATTGTAAGTGTGAAAAACTGTCATAAGTCACTTTTTTCAATGCTTCAAACGGTCACTAAATGCACTGGTAAGTCGAGGACTACCTGTACAACCTGGAGGAATGGAAGAAGCGCAAAGAAATGCGGGATTGTGCCGGAGGCGGAACCCAACAAGGGGCACCGGCTCCCCACCGGACGTTTGTGCTCAAACGCCTGGCTTGGAACAGCCCTAAACCCCCAAATGTTGTGCTTTTTCTCAGGAAGGAAGCGGAGGCAGCCGCAGAGCCCCTCAGCAAGAGCCCACCTGTTGGGGTGAACCTCCCCAACTCTAGTGGGGGAAGGGGGGCCCTCCGGCCTTTGATGCTGCCCTGACTTCTGAATTCCGGTTGACTGGAAGTCCTCATTTTTTGCTCTGGCTTGCAAAGTTTTTGGGCCTCCGCCACAGCCCAAAGTCTCTACAACGCTGGATTTTGCACCCAAATTGAAAAAGGCCTCTGCAAACACCCTTGTGCTCACAACCCTGGGAAGGAGTGGAGGGAGACGGGCCCGGTCTCTCCGCCCAAATCCTGCCCAGATGTGCCGGGCTGCCATGCTCAGTGTTTCCAGCCAGCATGCTAGCTAGGCGTACCAGCAAATGGCGCCCATCCATTCTGGAGAATGCCAGCTAAGAGAAGACGGGTTAAGAATAATAATTGTCACGAAGGAAAAGCAGGTAGAGTTGGGAGGCTGATCGGTGGTTGGTGGTCCTCAAAGAATGGATCAGGTGCCCCAGGTATCCAGGCGCCGCACCCTGACCCTCTGCTTATAGTGGTACTCTTTCAGGTACTCCTTCAGCACCCGGGGCAGCGGAAGGTGCCCGATGCCGTCATAGGTGGTGCAGGAGGTCACCACGGCTCGGCAGAGGTGCTGCAGGCCAAAGGGGAAGGTGCGGTGGACGGGGATGGAGAGCAGCGGCTCGAAGAACATGCAGACGCTGGGGTCCTTGTAGTGCTCCAGGAGGCCGCTCACGGTGGGCGCGTGAAAGACGCTGGGGTCGTGGACGTCGAAGCTGAAGTTGTGGTTCCATTGCTCGATGCGGGCGTGGAGAGAACGGCCGTAGCGCCGGAAACTCACAGAGAAGAGGTAGTCCTCTTGGGCCGAGTCCCGCAGGAGGAAGGTGCCCTCCGGCTTGCCCTCCAGCAGGGACTCAGCTTCGTAGCGGTCCATCACACCCCAGTAACAGGAGAGTTGTGTCAGCTGAAGCAGGTCGGGCACCAGGCAGTGGATGTAGTCAATCTGGGTGTGCACCCGCAGGCCTCCTCGGACCTCCGGCAGCCCAGCAAAGGCCGACTCCAGCTCTTCTTCCTCCTCCTCCTCCTCTTCATCCTGCTCATCAGTGGCGGTCAGCACGGTCCGGCCAGGCCCAGCCAGCTCGGTCATGCCGTGGGCGAGCTTTGGCCCCAGTTTGTAGAGAGGGTTGATCTGCGCCGTCACCTCAAAGGTATGGATCAAGGCGTCCGGTGGCGGATCCACGCCCTGCTCGATGCTGATGCGGCGGCGTTCCCTCAGGCGGTCATCTTCGTCCTCGGGGGGCAGGGCAACCAGGCCCTCATGCTCGGAGACGGGCACCGTGTGCTGCTTGATCAGCTTCCACGTGCGGGCCAGCTCCGAGCCGGGGGGGAAGGGGCAGGTGTCCAGCATCAATTCCCGGAGGTGAATTTTGCGCTGGGAAGAGAGGTCCGGTGAGCGCGACAAGCTCTTGATGGGGAAGCACTGCCCTACGGCGGCTTGCAGCTTCTGCCGCAAGGAATGGCCCAGCCCCTTGGCAGGCTCGGGGTATGCCCGCCGTGGGCCCTCCGTGGCTGGCTCCACTTTGGAAAGTCTCTCTGAGGCGTGGCTGGGTCTGGACTTCCCACGCCCAGCCCTACGGCTGCTTGTGCCGCCATCCGGCTTCACTTTAGGCCGAGCCCCCGCTGCCCTGTGACATGGTCCCCCCGGCAGGGGGCACGCTGAAGGGCTGGCGCTCCTCCCGGGCACTTGAAGAGACGGCTGCTGCTCTTCAGGGGACGGGGCAGACCGACAGGGCCGCGATGATGCTGAGCTGGAGAAGAAAAAAGCAGAGTGTCAGTAGCTGCCCATCTGCCAGCAAAGCCCCCCCCCCGCCATCCACCTCTTTCACCCCAAAATCCAAAGGAGGGTTGTGGAAGTTTCTGGTGCCAAAACTTCCCAAGGAGGCAAGTCGCACCTTTCCCGACTGGCCCGTTTTAGGAAGAGTCATGGGCTTTGTAGTGCCACCACTGGCTTCGTCCCGGAGTGGCCAGACTCTAGGAGGCTTTGGCACCCCAGGATCGCACCGCCCTCCTCCTCCTCCTCCTCCCACAACCTCCGCAACAACAAGCGGCTCTTTGTGCGATGCTAAGCCAGCTTGGGCCCCTGCCCCGCACCGGGCCGCCTCGCCCCCCCCCCCGCCAGAACGGCCCAGTTCAGAGGCCGCCCGAGTCGCTCTGCAAAGCCAGAGAGGGGCCAGTCCCGAGGGGGGGGTCCCTGCAAGGGCTGCCCGTCTGCCACGGAGGGGGGTTCCCGGGAGGAGGACCGACCCGGGTTTTCTTTGCAAAACGCCCCCACCCGCCCCCCGCTCTGCCACCCCGATTGCGCGCCGATCCCCTCGCCGGCTCCGGGCGGCCTCGCCAAGCAGGCTTGGCAGACTAAAAGGGGAGGGGGCCTCTAGGACGCCCCCCCCCGGCCGGCCCCCTCCCCCTCCCTGCCGGAGACCCTCCTCGGGGCCCGCCGGCTTCACCCCAAAGACCGCCGGAGAGGCCAGCCCCGCCAGGCCGCCCCCAGCCCCGCTTGCCGGGGGGCTCCACGCCCGCCTCGCCCCTCCCCTCCCCGGAGGAGCCCCCTCTCGGCCGCCCAGCCCACGCGCCCCGCCGGCGACAGGCGACCCTCCCCGAGACCCCCGGCCCGCCCAGGCCCCGCGCACCCGCCGTCCATGCGCCCCGCCGCCCGCGCGATCCGGAGGGGCTGCGGCCGAGGCGGACACTTCCTGGGTGGCGGCGCGGAGAGGAAGCGCCACCGAGAGCGCCGCCCGTCCGGCCGCAGAGCCGCCTCGCCTCGCCCCGCGCAGCGCTGGAGGCGGAAGGGAAGGCGAGCAATGGAGAAGGAGGAGCAGGTTGGAGGAGCTGAGGGACTCATCTTCTTCTGGGAAGCCCATAAAGCTCAGCTAGGTGGAAGGAAGGAGTAAAAAAGGAGGCGGTTACGAGCCGAGAGCCCGTCTCCCTTGGGAAGCCCATCATGCTGGGCAAAAGGTGGGAGGAGGAGATTGGAAGACTTGAAAGACGCCCCTCCTTCAGAGACCCATAACGCTGAGGAAGGAGGCAGCAGCCAAGGGGCGCCTCAGCTGGAAGAGCGGAAAGACCCGCGGAGCGACCGATCCCCCTGGAGAAGCCCCGTCCGTGTGGGGGCCAAGAGCCGGCAGGGACCCCAGGAACCCCTCCCCAGCGGGCCAAGCCCTTCAGTGGGCGCACGGAGCCTCTGCTGGGCACAGCTGCAGCCTGCCCCTCCTCGGAACCCGGCAAAGCTGCCTCGCTTCTCCCACCCACTCAAAATCCCACCCCCCAACCACCACTTTGCTTCGCCCCCCACGATCCCTACTTGGAAGGTGGCTTTGCCAAGTTCCTTCCCCTCCCGGATGACTTCTGGTCTCCTAGCAGCAGGCCAGGGGCTCCGGACACCTCCCAAACCCCAAATTGCCCCATTGCTGAGCAAGGAACCCCCCAGTCAAGACCCCTTGGCGAAGGGGCTGCAGGCCCCCAGGTGGGTGGCTCCCCTCTGGGCTGCAGACACAGGTCTTTCTGGGCAAGTCACTTTCTGCACCTCGCAATCTCCTCCGTGGACCTCATCCAGAGCATCGTTGTAGACCTGGAGGGCCATGTGGCCCAAGGGGTGATGGAAGTTGTAGTCCAGCACACCTGCATAGAGAAACCCATCCTATCCTCACTCCCATGCCCGAACCCTGCCCTGAAATCCCAAATCCATCCCCTGGCACAGGAAAAAAAAGGGATCGACATAGAAAATCAAGAAAGAAAAGGGGAAAAAAACATATTTTATTGCAACAGAAAGGGGATGCCTGTCCTTATATACAGCAGAGAATACCTGGGGCTGAAGCCCAACTTCCCCCAGCAAGGCCAACTGCCCAGCCCACAGAGCCCGGCGGCTGCAGGCGGCAGAGCTGGCGAAAGGACCCTCCGGACCCCTGAAGGGGCCTGGCCAATCCAGGCCCCGTCGCCTCCCCCAGTAGTCCCAGTTGCCCCCTCCCCCCCCCGAGTGGCCTCCGTGGCTGCTCAGTCACTGTCGCTGCTGTCACTGCTCGACTCTGATGGGACGTCGCTGGCGCTGGCCTCGCCTTCCTCCTCGTCCTCGTGGTTGGAGCGGTCGCTGCCGCTGAAAAAGGGGCTGCGGTTGCCCCGGTGCTGCTGCTGCTGCCGCCGGCTGCTCCCCCCGTGTTCGTCCTCCTCTTCCTCCTCTTCCTCGCTGCCACTCTCCTCGTCCGCCTCTGGCCGGCCACCCTCCGGCTCGGAGTCTTCCTCGTCGTCGTCACTGCCGAAAATCTCCTCTTTGTCTCGCGCTGCCCGTTCGTCCTCCTCGCTCTCCTCGGCCACGGCACCCTCACCCTCGCTGGGCGAGCGGCCTTCCTCTTCCTCCTCCTCTTCCTCTTCTTCCTCCTCCTCCTCGGCTTCGCTGGCCTCCCTCTCGCTCTCACTGCCTTTCTCCGGTTCCTCGTCTGGAGTGGGGGAGACAACAGGGGGGAAGGGGGGACGGAGAGTGCGTTAAACACGGGAGAAGCCCCCCTCTGGTGGGGAGGGATGGGGGTGGGCAGTCAATTTCCTCCGGGGGGGGGCCACCTGAGAAACTGGGGTGGTTAAGGTTTGGTCCCCTTGGAGTCGGGCCCAAAAACTGAGGTCAGGTACACATTCTTAGAAGTCTTCGCTAAGGAAAGCGAAGGGGTCAGCTTTTCTTTCAGACTTGTTTGTGGACCCCAGTAAAACACACAGGAAAATCCCACCGCCAATAATCATTAAATCACAGTTAAGATTAAGGTTAGGGCTGTGAAGGTGTAGGGCGTGCACGCATGCACACATGTAAATTCAAAGGAATGGCAGTTGCCTTCGAAAGAAAATTGTATTTGCGCCTGGTGTGCACGTATTCACATCTGATTTCTAATATGCGACAGCTCAAGCCAGCCAAAAGGGGCCCAGGCCTGCTCTATGGGGCAGGCTGGGCTCTGGGAGAAAGACCCCTCACCTGAGACTTGCGCCGCTTTGCCCATCTCCTCCTCCTCCTCCTCTTCGGGTTCGTGGTTCTCCAGTTGTGCTTTGCGGGCTTCCTGCGAGGAGGGGTGTGAAGGCGCCCGAGTGAGACACCCAGCACAAGCCCCCCTCCCTCCCTCCGCCATGGGGAGGAGCCCAGCCGTGGGTTCCCTCTGCCTGCCAGGACGCCCAGCCCTACCTGGGCCTCCAGCTCCTTCTCGTTCATGTCCCTGTGCTTCACCACCAGCACCGCGTTGGTGCCGGACTGGACCCCGGCCTTGGCTCGCCGTTTGCTGAGCCGCACTCTGCCGGGGAGAAGCAGGTCAGAAAGGGAGGAAGGGGCCTGGACCCTCCCCCCTTCTGCCAGCATCTCAGTTCCCCCTGCCCCTTTTATCTGAGGACCCACAGCCACAACAGTTCCTTTTAGAGCAGGGATCTCCAACCGTGGCAACTTTAAGACTTGTGCACTGTCTCCCTTAGCAACAGAAATTTTGGGCTCCACTGTGGTCGTAAGCCGAGGACCCCCTGTAGATGTTGAGGGCTGGAAACTGGCTCATCAAACAACCAATCGGCCCAGGGAGGTCTCGCCACACCACTTAGCCTGCCAAGGCCTCTGCAGCCCCCTCTTCGGTACTCCTGCCCTGCCCCAAACTCCCCCCCCCCCGCCTCACCTGGTCTCCAGTTCGTTGTAATAGACCCCGTCGCCTTCACGAAAGATGAAGAAATAGTTCTCTTCGTAGCCCTTGCTGGCTTTGTTCTTCACATTCCAGTTGTACTCCCTGGCGATTTTATACTCGTACCTAATGGGGGGGGGGATGGAAGAGAGGAGGAGGAGAGTTTCACCTCTGCTTGTGGGCAAAGGAAACCGGGAAAAACCAACTCCTTCTCATGCTTTCCCTAAAACTGGATTGATTTTCTCGCTTACCCAAATCCCATCGGTGGGCTAGAGCTATTTCACCACAGCAAAGCAAGGTAGGAAGAGGCACGTACAAAATTCAAGAGCAGAATTAAGCAGTCCGTGCAACTTAACATTTCTATCCCCCCGTCTCTGAAGTGAAGAGCTCAAGAAAAAAGATGTCATTTTTATCCATGACTCTGAAAGGCCAAATTCAGACTAAGCCGGTTGGAAAATGTAAGCTCAGCTGCGTGCGGCTGGCTGACCCACGTTTTCCCCTACGGGAAGCAAAACTAGAACCTTTATTCCAACCACGATGCCCCTTTGGCCTTCCTTCCAGATTGATTTAGCCTCGCTTGCATTCCTGCTTCCTTCGTAAGACCATGTTTGGCTTCTGCGCTCAACGTACACATCCTCGGGTGTGTAATCCATCTCCTCGTCTTGATCCCGTTTGCGTTTCCGCATCGTGTCGTCCACGGGAAGGAAGTAGGCCACAAACTGGTTGCCCTCTTCATCCATCATGCCCCTGGAGGTGGAGGGAAAGGGGGAAAGAGGCACATCAGCTCTCTGCTGCTTTGGACAGAACAGCCCCGGTGCCAAGCAAAATTTTCACTGGCACCGACATAGAAAAGGAGATGGGTGAAGATTATAAGAGAGAAATAGTTCTTTCTGCTTGAGGTCTTAAAAGAGCTGGACAGGGATCCAGGATGGTCCAAAAAAGCCCATATTTGAAGGCGTGCCAAAGGTCAAGACACAAGGAGAGCCAGTTTGGTCTAGAAAGTGGGAGACGGTGAGTTCTAGTCCCGCCTTAGCATGAAAGCCGGCTGGGTGGCTTTGGGCCAGTTGCTCTCTCTGTTTAACCCAACTCACAGGGTTATTGTGGGGAAACTAGAAGGAGAAAGATGTGTTGGATATGTTCACTGCCTTGAGTTATTTGTAAAAATAATAAATGCAGGATACAAAAAACAAACAAACAAGCAAACACCCTTGGCCAGGAAACTGAGGCTGGCCTCCCCCTCCCTACTTTACAAATGAACCATGGTCTCACCTAATCATAGCTTGTGACATCATGTCCAGAGCTGCTGTCCCGCTGGTGTCCTTGGGTGCTGGATCTGAGTCAAAAATGACCTGAGCACAGGGGTTGATCCACATCTGGCAGGGAGGAGAGAGAGAGAGAGAATGAGAACAGCAGCTCAGAGCCCAGCAAGTCCTTTTGGGGAGGGGCAGGCTGCTGACCCTTCACCTAGCCAGCTCTTCCCTGGAGCCGCCTTGCTTTCCCTTACCTTGAAATCAGGAAAGACCGGCATGACTTCCATTGGAGTAACGCGAGGCTTGCTGTAGTGCTGAGAAATCTGGGGGAGGGGGGGGAGAGAGGAGCACAGTTTCCCATTAGGAGACACCCAAGAAAGAGGGAACACACCCACACTTGCTAGGCCTGAAAGCTGTAGATCAATGTAGGCTCTGCAAAGCACCCTTTGCCTCCCCCCCCAAATCAGAGAGTGCATTTAAACCACCAATACAAAGAGAATAAAAATGGCTGCAGCAAGCTTCTACAGCTGGGGTGTCCAACCTTGGCAACTTTAAGACTTGTGAACTTCAACTCCCAGAATTCCCCAGCCAGCAGAGTTGAAGTCCACAGGTCTTAAAGTTGCCAAGGTTGGACACCCCGCTTCTACCGTTCTACAGGACTAGAAGACCTCTGAGGTCCCCTTCCATGCTGTTATTCTTATTCTGCTGGTTTCTCTCTTTCTGCACAGGTTCCGTCTCTGAAAAGGCACAACAATAAGAGGAAAGATTTTCTTTTGAGGGGGAGGAAGAGGAAGGGTACTCACTGACTTCTGAGCATCCTCAAAGGTCTTCTCAATGGCTGCGATCTGGCTGTCTCGGTCCTTGTAAATCTCCTCCTCGGTGAACTGCTGTTTGACAGACACACCGATCCTAAACCGAACAAGGTGGGGGAGAGTTCAGAAAGGGCATCTCAGCCAGGGGACAAAGAGCCTGGCTCCCTTGTGCTGGACTTAGTGAGATGGTTACTTTTTTAAAAAATAAGTATGTATTGTTTTATTGTA